ACACAGGGCTTTGTCCATGATGGTTCGGTTCCAGCGTTCGGCACGACCGTTTTGCTGTGGCGTTCCTGGCATGGTCATGTCGTGCTCAATCCCAAGTTCGCAAAGAAATTCTTGGAACTCTGTTGCGGTATATTCACCCCCTCGATCGGATTGTACCTTCTTGATTTTTCGACCAGTCTGTGTCGATACCCAGGCGTAGTATGCTCAGAAAGCTTTCGTCTGTTCCGATTTCGCCTTAAGGTAGTAGATTCGACCAGCACCAGAGAAGTCATCAAGGTATGTTACGAAGTACGTGTATCCGCCGATAGAAGTGGGCAGTGGGCCGACTAGATCAGTGTGGATCATGTCGCCCGGGGCTTCTGCACGCTTCGGTGATAGAGGGTGTGGTTTGCGCGTCATTTTGCCTTTGGCGCAACCATCGCAAACAGTAGACGGGGGAGGAGCAGGACCAATGTCGTCAACACCTTTAACTGCCTTAGGGAGCTTCTTGATCGCTTCCTTAGAACAGTGACCCCAGCGGTTGTGGATGAGTTCCCAGTCGACGGTAGACGACAACGACTGAGCCGTGGGTTGAGGTTCTGAAGGTTGGACAGGTTGGACGACTTTGCCATTCATTATATCCGTGGGCAGCTGATAGAGGTTGTTGATCGGATTAAACAGAGCCTCAAGACGCATAGCACCAGGGAAAGTCAAGCCAGCGTGTGAGAAGGATGCGTCTGTGACGCGAGAATCGAAAATGACCATTTTCCCATTCCCCTGAATGATGAGGTTTCCGGTGTTCTTGATGGCACCAGTTGAGAAGAGACGTGTACCTGTGTTGGGAATGTATACTACGTTCTTAAACTCAACTTTGACGTGGTTGCCGTTGAGATCGATTCGAGCAATAACCGTTCCTTCTCCGAGTGTGCGGACGATACCAGCATCTCCTTCCTGAGCCGTATGAAAGATCTTAGGCTCACGGTATTGAGTGTAGGAGGAGAAGTCATGCTTGTATGCCGATACGTGACGCGAAGCACCCAAATCCATGCACCAGACTGCGAAGTGAGAATCACGCTTAGTGGTGTTACCTGCGTTGTACCAAGCAGCAGAGATCTCATTCGACGCGGACGAGGTGTCCGACGCTACAAGTACATTGACAGTCTGAGCCGAAACGTTATGTGAATGTCCGGAATTTCCACCACCACCATTATCTCTGCCTTTGCCTTTGCTATTGCCCTGACGTTTCCCCTGCGGCTTGAGCTCGGGATGCTTCTGCCAGCAGTGAGATTTGTCGTGATTCTTCCCTTTGCAGTGAGCGCAGGGACCACGCGGCTTGGGCTTGGTCTTGGTGACCTTGCTGACAGACTCCTCGCCATTGCCGATCGATGTCTTGCGCAAGGTCTGCTCGGAGCAAACCTGCGAGATGATGTTGTCGACGGTGGTGTTCTTGGACTCGTAAGTCGCAAGAATAGTTGTGACGATGGCGCGATAGGAGACCGGGAGCTTGCCCATGCACATGAAGGCACGTTGACCATCACCGTACTTCGCGATAGAGGAGTCGATGCGGTCGAATTTGGCATTGTAGGTCGAGATTTGGTCGGCGAGGTCCTTGTTCTCGTTGAAACGGTCCTGGTTGATGAGTTCCTCGAAGAGGGCGAAGCTCGACGCAGCGTCCGACTTGTCGTAAGCCGCTTTGAGAGCCTCCCACATTGCGTTCGCGGTGGTCTTGCCAGTGAGATGCGCCTCCTTGACCTCGATTGAGACCTGTTTGACTATCAGGCCTCGTGCCTTCGATTCACGCTGCTTCCAGGCAAGAAGAGCAGTGACTTCGGTGGCAGCAGGTGGAGGGTCGAGTGAAGGAGTGGCAGTTATTTCCCAGCAGGACAGCATGAGACACATCCCTTCCATATCGTGCGCCCACTGTTTGTACCCATTGCGACCTTCGAGCACCGAACCCTTTGCGACGGGGACAGTGTCCATGAGTGGTAGCGTGTAGAGGATCTCGAGGGTATCGTCTAGAGGGACAAGAGTGGGTGAAGGCGGAGAGGGAGTATGAACGACGATAGGATAGAATTTGAGGGGACCATAGACATAGGAACCATAGAGCGGAGCGTCTGGGGTGACGTCTGCTTCAAGGACTTGCTCGACTTCGAGCGAAGAGTGGTGTGATGAGAGAGGAGATGGGGGAACATCTGCAGCGACCGAGGAAAGTGGAGAACCTGGTGCAGAGACGTCAAACTGAGGTAGTTCCGACCAACGGAGGGCGTCAAAATGACGAGGGTGTTGAGGAGAGTCTGGAGCGAGGTGGTATCGCCTAGGCGTACAGTTCGCGGGCTGGTTGATGTCCACGTAACGGTTAGGGCAAGGTTGTACGTCGCAAACGAAGAATTCTCCGTCCTCGTCGTCAAAGAAAACGTCTTGTCCTCCTGATCGGAGTTCGTATCGGTGGTAGAAGCGTGAGCAGTCGAAAACGTCAATCGCGTCGGAGTCCGAAGAGCTGCCAGACGGGATCTGGACGTCGTTGAGGTCGGTAGAAGGACCAGCAACGTTGTCTGCCACGGTGAAGTCGGTGAAAGTTCAGAGAAGCGCGATGTTGAGAACGATATCCCCTACTCGTGGAGAATGAGCACCCGTTGGGGCAACCTCGCTACGAAAGCCTGTCGGAAGGCCTTGTGGAGGGTAGAGGTGAAGACGGAGGAAGAGGACTGTGAGGGTAAAACCCAAAGCTATGTCCGACCGAAACCGTCCACAAGTAGTCGATGGGGAGATCTTGAATCGTTGGCGAAAGGTGAAGTGCGCGTTGCTCAACGTAAGCAAGCTAGAGCACAGGGCTCATAACCTGATGAACTCTGAGTAAGGCAAGGGACCGACTGTAAGCACACGAAGAGGAGCGATCCTCAGTCAGTGATAGAACAACTATATTGAGGGCATAAGTAGTACCTGTAAGCACACGAAGAGGAGCGACTACAGATACAGTAAGCATATGTATAAAGGAGCGCATAGAGTGGGGTACTTACTCCTCAGTCAGTGATAGAACAACTGAAGAGCAGTGCGAGCCAGAGTCCTCCTTATATCTATCTCAGGAGCTGCATACGTAAGCGAATGATGGAGGACATAAGTGGCGCAAAGGTCAGACCGGACAGAAGATGGATACGAGGTTGTACGGGCTGTGCGCTCAAGACAAAAGAGAGTCCGAAAGAAGAACAAGGTAACAAAGAGAGAAGCGTAGAAGAACGGAATGGAAGAGATAAGGGAATACAAGGCAGTGAATAGACATGTGGAACTATGGGAACTATCTCACAATGTCCATGTGTACGTAGAACTGTCTGTATGTACCTATGTTTGATATCCAATGTTCAACATCACCGCCTGCATAAGGTTGGCCTGTCCAGCAACCAACTGCTGCTGGTTCGCGGTGAGGGCCTGCATGAGGGCCTGAAACTGTTGGACATCCATGACAAGTGGTGTGATAGCAGTGTGTCTCGTCGTATCTAGCTCTGTGGGTCGTGTAGGTAACAGGGGTGCGGATGTGAGGACACGGTTGGTTGTCGCACTCTTGCCAGAGGAGGTCGTTTCGCTCGTTGCAGACGATGTGGACGTGCCGGTTGTCTTCAGTATCAACCGCGTGCTGATGTCCGGCGCAAGCCACTGTGCTCTAGGAACCAGGGTACGCTCCGGGGAAGTGAACACCTATTGAGGCTTCCGGGCAGCCAATCAGTCGGGATGACCAACTGTGCGGATAGAGTCGTCAGCCGGGAGCGGGGTAGTGTTCTCAGAGTGTGATACTCGAGCTCAACAGACCCAGGGAGACTGCGATACGCTCAGAGCCTTATAGCTCCGGCAGGTATGCAGGGTAGGGGAAGAGCAGGGCGAGTGGCACAGGGTGGGGACAATGCTTGCGCGAGTGGGGGCGATCCGATGCTTTGATGCCAGCACTCACTGGTTAGATCTCGACCTAATGACGCGGGAGCGGGCCGCGAACGCCAATCGGATGGATGTAGATTGAGGTTGGATGACCTCGATGTAGTGGTGCAGAGGCGTCGCCGGCACTAGGCGCAAAGCAGACGCAAGCTAGAGTCACATGAGGGATGTCTAGCCCACAAAGACCAAGAGTGTTGTGGTCGTTGCGCGTGCGCTACACGCGCGTAGCGGAATGGGTCAGCGCGTCCTTGGGGCGGCTGACGGGCCGGGCCGGGGAGGACCGGCCATGGACTTTGATGACCGGCTTAGGACTAATGAGCGCTCGCGTGGCCTGGGCGGGTGAGCGTCGATCGCTCCCGTTTGGAGAGTCCCCGCACCAGATATACTGGCGGGGGCTCGTCCGGCTTCCTCATGCATCTTGCTGCTACCCGCGCGTGTGAGGAAGCTGGTACGTCTCTCACTATATGACTATGTATGACTGTGCACTCACACATGTACTATGGCAGACCTTATCGTCTGCCAGGTGAATATACTCACGCATCTTGCTGCTACCCGCGCGCGTGAGGAAGCTGCATCAGGAAAACCCCCACTTGCAAATCCGCTATAATTGGTGCCAGGATGCAGCAAATCAGTGCAATTAGCGCAAATTAGCATGTTAGAGCAAATCAGTGTACTCACCCACTTACAAAGGGTGTTTTCTCACTATTTGCGAAGTTTTTGCACCAATATGCACCCTTATATCAACCGTGAGGACAGATTGAGCATCATAGTAGCTCAGATTGAACTACTGGTGCGCAAAGTTTCTGCAAAAAAGACTCACAGTAAGCAGCAAACACCGCATAATCAAGTTCTTGCTCGAGCAAACTTAACACCAGGATCGCACACAAGAAGCGTTACACGAAGCAAATTATGGATTGATTAGATGCGCAGTATACGTAGTATTAGTCGAAATTCAGGCAGAAATAGAGGCAAAGAGTGTGTATTATTAAGTGGGTAGAACTGGGTCTGTGAGCGTATGAGCAAGACGAGACAACGCGGACGCAAGACGAGACGACAGAGATAGACGCGATTCGGACTAGCAATTGCCGCCGTATAGGACACTAGATCGAAGAGGGCATGGCCGAGATGTCGAGAATATCATCGTCAGGCAAAGGAGCGCCTCTGAGAAGTCCTGCTCTCCCGCTGCGACATGATGTCAATAAGAATCTAAAATATAGCAAGACGGAATGGCATCACCTCGTCGCCTTGAGGAACAATGAATGCATTAGCATGTGGTATTTGTCGAGACTCTCTGCGCGGATCTTGTTGAGCCGTGCGATAGCGTCTTCGTATTTGAGCACGAATACGTTGCCATTGAAGTCCTTGATGTACGACCTCAAAAACTGCAACGAGGCGAAGACCTGTGAGAATGCGGCGTGCTAGTCAGTGTATTGCGTAAATTCCAAAGATCAATGGGAGAAATTTACGGCGGTGGCAACCAGGGCGAGCATCGGAGCAGGGATCTCTTTCTCGTCAGGCCTACTCGGGTCTGACGAGACGAGACAATCGAGCATTGAGTATCCGATACTAGTTGCGTGATCGAAGAAGGCAGTGTGCAGCACAGATGCGTAGATAGGATCCCCGAATGGTTCACCTCCATACGCAATCATGGTCTGCGAAAGCGGTGGACATTGTGACGGACATTAGCAAACACGGCACTGAGTGCCACATTTTCGAGCAAACTTACATCCAGATTGAAACGAAACATGAAGTGATCCTTTTTCAAGAGCCAATCAAGCTTCTCGACGTCACTGTGCCCGAGGTTGAATACGCCAGCTCTGAGTATAGATTTGACCCGGCCACGGAAGATCGGCACTCTCTGTGCGGCCTGAGGGTGCAGATATTCGTGAAGTGAACGCGCAGACGTGAAATTTAAACTCACAATTGAGGCAACGTTGTGAGCGTACTTCGAATCCGATTTGATCCTCTTCAGAATAGCCTTGTCGTTCTGAGCCTCAGCGCACTTGATGAGGATCCGCCGATTATACTTCTCCATGCCGTCTGGGAAGGCGTTTTTGAGCAGAAGATAATACTCGATCTGAGTGATCATCGCTTGGGCGATCGTCTGAACGCGTTGTGGTTGGTCGTTGAGGTTAAATTTGCCGCCGCTACTGCGCACAAGTTCGATGTCATCAAGGCCATCGTCGCTCTGTGCGTACACCGGTATCAGTGTAAATATCCTGTAGGAATATATGACACATACCTCAGCGTTCAGAGAGCGAGACATCTTCGCTTTCTTTGATACAGGTTCTGGTTCACTGTCAGAATTCTCGATGAACTGCGGCTCCTGTGATCAACGTCAGCATCTGAGGTGATGTAGCAGAGGCTCCGAAAGCGTACCTCGTCACTTCTGTGCCGTCGTTTAGACGAGGCGTGAGCGTTCTGTCGAGGTCGCTCGGTATCGGAGCGCTTCGCGTTGACCTTCTTCGGAGCACTAACAACTTGTCGAGGCTTTGACTGCAGCGTAGTCTTCAACGTCCGCTTGGATGGACCAGCTATGATGATTCGCCGTTAGGGAAAACACCGTGGGTCAGTCAAGACACGCGCAGACGTACCTTCATTGGTGGTTGAAGACGAACTCTTGTGGGTCTGTGGCATAGTGACATGAAACTCTGATCGCGTGGAGTAATGCAGAATGAAGTAGCTCACTGCCTTTCCCTTCTTCACTGGACGAACCTGACACAAGTTAATTCGCATGAGTTACTTCACTTCAAGTGGATAGTGCGACACACCGGTGAGGAATCAGCTTCTTCGGCGTTTTGTGTGCGCTTTCGACTCGAGGTCGAGGTGAGTTGTGAACCGTTCAAAGCGGCCGACTGAGATCTTGAGGGGCGAGGAGTGGGTTCCGCATCTAAACGAGGCCGCGAATGCCCACCATGGGTCTTCTTGGTCCGATTGCTGGCAGCCAGCTTTGGCGATGCTCCTCGCGAAGGCGTGGCAGGAGGTGGGGATGGGATATAAGATCGACGATTGAGACTCTGAGGAAACAGGTGCGAAGGAGCGGGGGACTCTGACAGGCGGGGATCTGGAGTTGTTGCGGCATTGTAGAGATAAGACTCATCTTCAGCGACGTCTGAGTTGACCAGGTGGGCAGCCTAGTATACAACAGTCAATCAAGTTGTAAGACAGTATGGAAATCATACAGGGGGAGGGTTAGAGGCCGTAGGGCCGACAAAATGAGCAGTGCGAGAGGGGCATGGGATCGGAGTCGGGACTTGGGGCAGTGCGAGATATGTAACAAGTGAAAATGGCGCTCACCTCTGCGGACAGCAACTCCTCAAGCTGCGCGTCAGACTTCACATTCAGACCATCTCCATCTTCGTTTTCTTCTCTGCCTTCCTCACTACTCTCCTCAGACTGGTCGTCGCCGGTGTCCTTCTTTCGACCTCGAGTCTGGCAACCTCCCTCATCCGAATCCGAGTCCTCATCACTGCCGCCACTTTGCTCCGAAGAATCCGACCCTTCAGGCTCGATGATCTTGACGGGCTTGCGCCGCGAAGTGTCTTGACGCTTCAATGTCGCCTTGGACGCCGAGTCCTTGTATACCTGAAGCGGAGCCTTGCCGGACTTTGCACCGGATTGAAACGGCGAAGAAGGTGTATCCTGCTGTGTTGGGTATACAATGTCGGTGTCCGAGTCTGCGTCCACATCGATGTTTGGTGCGTTATGCTTTGTATTCTTGTTGTAAGGACTGGGCTTGACTGTATTCGCACTGCTTGCTTTAGACACAAGTTATATGAGTCAGAAGACAACCGGTCGTGAGTGAGTAGCGTGGTATTACCTTGTCCCGAGTCTGACTTCTTGCTCGACTTGCTATTAGGCTTCAAAGAATCCCATACTGGTGGCATATCCATGGTCAATCGTACGGCACGTACAATGTCATACGTCCGATACATTGAGGTAAGCTCACCGCGTTTCTCTAGTGCTCGAAGTTTTGCTGGACGCGGCGCTATGACCCAGGATATTACCAAACACGGCCAGATAGTACGCAGCAGTGGGATGGCACGTACGTAGTGTCGACTCAGCGTGCTTCGGCGACTGACTCTCGATTTCCTCATTGTCAGAGCTTGGCAAAGGGGCCGTTCTGGAAGCTTTACGGCGACCTGGCATGGTTGACGACGGCGACTGCAGGTGACACGGTCGAAATTCAGCCGCAAATCGGAGGGAACGGCAGGAACGTACGTCGTGCTGTGTGTGGGGTTAAAGAAAGGATCGATGGGAGATGATGGATAGAGAAGGAGCGACGTGATAGGTGAGCGGGCACAGAAGTGGTGTTGGGGTTGTTCTGACAGAGGATTTAGACGCGAACGGGGCGAGGCAGATCCATGAAATATGCGAGAGGCTCGGCAGCCTTGGAGGCCGCTTGACCCGAGCACTAGCGGATATGTGGGTGATTCTAACTTCTTTATCCACAACCTTTCATCTGAGTTCGAATCGCCTTGCACACCCAACAGCACTGCTGTTACTACTACGCCCCTCCTCGACTACGCCCGTCGCCCATTCGCTCAGGCAGTATCACACCACTGCTCCGCTCCCCCATCAGCTCTACATCTGCCGTCGGCCTCCTCAATTGCTCCCTCGTTCTCCGTGGTGCTTCACGCTCACGCTCCGACCATGCCACAACCTGAAGCACCTGATTCCTACATCTTTTGCGAAGGCTGTGGTCGCAAATTGACCCTCAACGGGTACGGACGCCATCTTCGTACCACTCAGAGACCACAGTGTGTGGCCATTCGACATCGACAGCAAGAGGAGGATGGATTCGATGAGCAGTCGGGCCGAGATGTTCTGGCTAGTGAAGATCGCGACGACATGCAACAATCGTCGTCAGTGGCGCCGCCGTCCGGAGGAGAAGACTACGACAACGACCAACCAGAAGACGGGGTCGTCGCTGGACCTCAAGAGGTGTTCGACGAGGGTGAGGACTCCAGTGACGACTGTCCGCAGTATTACTCGGGCTCGGACGACTCGGACAGTGACACAGATGTCGAAGACTCGGCCAACCTCGAGGACGAACACGCCTGGGAGCGACCACCACCTGCCGAGTGCGAAGCCACACCCGTCAATGTCGATCAAGCTCCCGCTGAGGATCCCATCGATCCTGAATATACTCGTCTACACCGTGAAGAAGAGTGGAGACGGCGACGCGTGCGAGACGCTTTACAAGCAGCTACATATGTTGTTCCGTACCCAAGCGGCGCCTCTCAAGCTGGAGAACCCATCCAACTGTCGCGCGAGCCGACCAGCTACCACACAGCTCGCAACGGTCTTCAACAGGACGGCGACGACAAGACCAATCTATACGCCCCATTTGTCTCATTCATTGATTACGCAGTGGCCATGTGGGCGAAAATGCGCGGCCCCGGATCCACGGCGGTCACTGAGTTACTCGAAATAGACGGGGTTTGTCTATCTTATCGGTTCCGTCTTGCATATCTTCGCTAACTTCTACCTTTGTGGTGCCCAGCTCGTCTCTCAACTCGGCTTGTCGTACAAGAATTCAAGAGAGCTGAATAAGCTCATCGATAACCAGCTCTCATCGACACGCCCTCGCTTCAAGAGGCAGGAGTTCCTCATCGGTGGAGAGGTCTTTGAACTTTTCTACCGTGACGTCATTGAGTGCATACAGGCTCTGTACGGCGATCCTGAGTTCTCTGGAGTGCTTGTTTTCACACCGGAGCGACACTACACCGATGCTGATCGCAAGATCCGCGTATATTTCGATATACACACTGGAAAGTGGTGGTGGGCAACTCAGGTGAGTATTGTTCGTTGAAAATCATTCGACTTAACACTTACATGAGTGTAGGAAGCTCTTGATAGAGTCAAGCCTGGCGGCACGATCATCCCGGTGATCATCTCGTCGGACAAGACCCAGCTTACCGTCTTCGGGAACAAGACAGCCTATCCCGTCTACCTTACCATCGGCAATCTCCCGAAACACATCCGCCGCAAACCCTCTCGTCGGGGGCAAATCCTCCTCGCTTATCTCCCCACTACCAAACTCGAGCACATCACTACAAAGGCAGCACGTCGAAGAGCGCAGAACAACCTCTACCACGCGTGCATGGGACACGTGCTCAAGCCACTCGAGAAGGCCGGCGTTCATGGTGTCAACATGACTGGCGGCGACGGTATCGTCCGACGCGGACATCCGATCGTTGCCATCCACGCCGAAGACTACCCAGAGCAGCTCCTCACCACTTGCTGCATGAACGGCGACTGTCCTCGGTGCAGCATCGACCGGGACGATGTGGGGGCGACAACGGATCCTAGTCGGCCTCTTCGCGACCTCAACGCTGTGATGGATGCCCTCGCCGTCGCTGATACAGGCACGTCAACGGAGTTCGTCCCGCCTGTCAGAATATTCGCATCAAGCCAGTGCGCCGCCCATACTGGTTGAATCTACCTTTCCACAACGTTTTTCGCTCAATCACACCAGACGTTCTTCACCAGCTCCATCAAGGCGTAGTCAAGCACTTGATCTCGTGGCTGAAGATCGCCTTTGGTGAAGACGAGATTGATGCACGCTGTCGCCGCATTCCCCCCAATCACCAGATCCGCGTCTTCATGAAGGGGATCTCCGGTTTGCAACGTGTCACTGGCAAGGAGCACGCGGCGATATCCCGCTTCTTACTGGGCCTAGTTATCGGACATCCGTTGCGAGGTGGCTTTTCCCCGATTCGGCTCGTTCGAGCAGTACGCGCCATCCTCGATTTCTTATACCTCGCTCAGTATCCTGCTCACACCTCCGACACACTCGAACTCCTCAAGGACGCATTGCGTAGATTCCACGAGAACAAGTCGATCTTCATCATTCTCGCAATACGCGAGCACTTCAAGATCCCGAAGCTCCATTTCCTTGATCACTATTTCGAGCTGATACTGCTTTTCGGTACCACAGACAACTACGACACTCAACTTTTCGAACGCTTACACATCGATCTCGCTAAAGAAGCATGGCGCGCTACAAACCATAAAGACGAGTTCGTGCAAATGACGCTCTGGCTTGAGCGCCGAGAGAAGATGCAGCGGCACGCTGCGTTTGTTGCGTGGAGACTCAACGTCGAAGATACTGTCCCCCATGATCTTCGCTCACCTTCTCCATCATCCGATCCTCCGTCGTCTCCAGGGCCCCGGGTTGGTCGTCAAGGTCCGCAACCTTCAGGCCGGTCTGTATCGACTTCTTCAAAAATCTTCCTTACCAAGTGGCCGAGCGTACGAAGAGTACCCATCTCGTCTTGCGCTCAGCTCTACCAGGCCGAGTTCCTACCCGACGCTCTCGCACGCTTTGTTGTATCCTTCCGATATCCCGATCTCACCAATGCGGAGGTCGAGAGCCAATCCTCCGCTGTTCACCTGCCTTTCAACGCCGTCCCGGTGTACCACAAGATCAAGTTTATTCTTCCCTCGCCTCAGAAGATGGGTATCCCAGAGGGCGACGTTCACGACACTGTGCACGCCCGTCCGGAGCGGAAGGATGCGCGAGGGAGGTTGGTTCCCGCTCGTTTCGACACCGTCTTAGTCAAGGAGGATGAAAATGCTCAGGGGATTCATAGTAAGTCGTATCAAACATTGTTTGGACTCGTTATAACTGTTCTTTTTCATCTAGAATATCGTGTCGGACGCGTTCGACTGATATTTTCCATTCCAAAAGCGGCCAATCAAGTCCTTTTCCCTCGTCTTGTACCCCCTCAACACCTTGCATACATAGAGTGGTTTACCGCCTTTCGAGACAAGGATCCTGACCATGGTCTTTACCGAGTCAGGCGATGTAGAAACCGTGCGGGAGATCGCCTAGCAAGCGTCATCCCGGTTGCTGATATCCACAGAAGTTGTCATTTATTCCCCGTTTTCGGCGGATCCGTTGCTCCTAGAGATTGGACCAGTAGCACAGTCCTCGATCGATGCGATATATTCTATGTAAACATCTTCAGCGATCAACATATGTACATGACTGCCCTATAAACTCGATTCATTCCATCCGCATTGACGTCTGAAGTTCCCTGCCATCGAGACTCTGTGGGCGTCTCGCGGCGCGCGCAACTTGCGTCCCACTTCCATGCACCACCTCTTGCTTGGCTCCCCTTCCTATCTGTCCTTCCACTTTTCTGGATATCTCTCTCCCCGTCCTCCTCTCCATCGTCCTCCCTACGAAAACATCCAATCAAATTCAGGAGGTCCCCTATGTCACCTGGCAGGTGGCCCACACTCGTCGAAATCATCCGCTGGTATGTCATGCCATCCGCCCTCTGCATACAGTAACTGGCTTCGCTGCGACCACCGGACTCACTCGCCGACCCCGCGCTGCTATGGACCATGGCGAATTCTGTCACCACCGCGCTCGGCGCCGCGAACATCCCCCTGTACGTCTGCATACATATACACCTACCACTGCAAGCGCAAGAGCATCGCCAACACCCGCTTGCGGGGGTGCACTTCTCCCATCCTCCCTGGACTCCTTGCATCCGGTCCTCCCCTCGTTGCCCGGGTCCACACCTACGGCCGCGACAGACGCGATGCTCGCTGCGGAGAATCCTCTCGCCCTACTCGCACTCTTCCTAGTACTCCCGTTCATCAAGCCTCTTCCACCACATTACAGGAGCTCGCCAAGGTGCGAAGAACACTTGCTTTGTGTTCATGGTATGTCGCCATCGTGTGATCAAGTCTGTATCGCTCACCAATGTGTCCAGATGCGAGTATCCTGGAGCACCCTCAAGTCTCCCACCTCTCAATACACCCTCGCAATCATCGCATACCCTCCACCCCGTGATCCCCACCGAAGGTACCCAATCCTCTGGCTTCAGCATCTCCCACCTCGCCTAGCTTAGGCTGTGAGTCCTTCTTTTTCCAGCGAGCCCTTTCGCGTCGTGAGGCGTGCCGTCGTCTTCGACCAACGTCGCGATTACTGCCGCCCTTGACTCAGAAGTCGCTCCCTAGTCTCGGACTTCGACTCCTCGCCGATCCCGGCTTCTCTCGCCACGCAAGCGCAGCTGTTTCGAAGCTCTCGTCAGAGGCTTCCCGACAAGTACTTACACGTCGCGATCGGTGCGCAAGTGTTTCTCCCCCCTGTCCCTCCTCCAACCGACTGTCACCCCGTCCCTCTGCAAGTTCGCCACCGTCCGCCGCCCGTCCGGGTTTGTTTCGTGCGCGCTTTCCCCCTCTTTCCGACGAGCCCACCCGTCACGCGATCCGCCCCGCCGTTGTCCCGCTGTGCGTCGTCTTGTACGACAGAAGAGCGCCCCTTGCGCCGCCGACTTGACGCTCCCGTCTCTCGACGGTTCGGAGCTCGTTTGCGGCGTGGGCGGGTTCGTTTTCTTCTCGTCGTCAAGCCCTTTCGGACACACCCTTCCGTGCGCCGGTATGCCAAGTTCATCTCCTGCGACAGCCGCCGCATCATCGTCCTTGTTCATGCTGTCTGGCCACCACCGTTTCGACCACCACCACCACCACCACCACCACCACCCATCCCGTCCGTCCGACATGCGGTTTGGATGCAAGATCGCCCTCGTCGCCCCTTTTGATTACGCTCGTCACCGTCTTACACGCCACGCTCATTCGTCCGCTGTGCGCTGCGCAAGAGCGCTTCCCGCTAACGCCCCGTTCCCCCACCTTCTGGTGCTCGATCTCGCCCGTCTCGCCGCTGTAGAAGATGTCGCCAGGACCGCTCGACGCGTGTCGTCAAGACCTTTCGAACGCGCGGCCGGCCATAGGATTCGGAGAGGATTTGCGTTGGTGGTGTCGGGATCTGCGTATGTCCACCTCGCCTTCTCCCTTCCTCCGGCGTCCCCCAGTCCCGCCCTCGCTTCTCTCTCGTCCCATGTCCATTCACCGCACAATTCGGCGCGTAGGCGCACGTCGACCTCCCCATTCGAACGCCGCTTTGCGCGCCGCGATCCGCTCGCTCCACGAACTCCGGCAAGACGTCCTCCGATCTGCGCGCTGTGCTTCCTCCTCTACACGCCGCCGACTTTGCCACGCCGTACCGCCACCCTACCCGTGCCATTCACGCTCATGAGGGGCGGGTTCAATGCCGCTCAAGCGTGCCTTTCCAATGCACTGTCTCGCTCCGCGTTGACCCCACGTTACTCACCTCGCCCCCGCCTCCCCCCTGCGCCCCCCGCACCACCTGTCTGGCCCTGGTCAACCACCTCGCCCCTGTAACTCGTGCGTCACCCACGTCTCCCGCGCCACCCACGCACAGGTGGAGCATGTCGTCTTTGTTTCAGGTGATGAGTGCGATGCGCTGCTGCTGGAGCACATGTGTGGCACTGGGTTAGTGATCTTTGAGACGCGGAATGTACGCTCGCACGCGACTCGACCCATTTTCTAACGCTGTCTACATTGTGAAGTTGTTACCTCATGTTTGAAGCTTGACCTAATATATTTTTGTGTATGCCGAGACTTGCCTGATAAGAGACTATTAGCACCACTAGAGCACACCTTGCACACGACAATATGATTGGCATGTGTTAGAACTACACAAGGGTGTTGTATGCACTGATTAGAACTAAATGAGCATGGATTTGCAGATGAGTGCAAATTATCGCCCTATTATCTGTGTTAGAGCGTGTGTTAGAGCCATAAGCGCTAATATGCAAGTGAGGGTTTTCCTGATGTGACCTTATCTCCAACAGGTTATGAGCCCTGCTTCCAAGCAATAAACCAGAAACCAGCTGCACCGAAACCCCCTCGATACAAAGAACCATGTCAGACGCCAAGACCCGCTACTCTATCCCGAAACTAATCGCCAACGGCTCCAACTGGGTCGTGTACAAAGACAAATTCCTGGCAGTGTCCGGAGCGAAGGGCCTGACGAGGTACATCAACGGTACCGTCTGCATTCCGCCTCGTCCTATCCCTTTCTCCCGCGTCAATCCCCACATACCCCCGTCCTCGTCCACGACCCCACCGGGCTCCCCGAGCGGCGCCCCACCCCCCACAACGACCGCACCAATCAAGGACATGTACTCTCACCTTGACGACGAAACGTACCTCAGGTTCGCTGAGGCTGTGGACAAGAACTACGACACATGGGTCCAGAAAGAAGCGGACGCGCGCACGCTGCTTTACGAGAGCATTCCCGATGAAGTGTACATCAACATCCGCGCGCAACCGTCCACGGCAGACGCTTGGTCCGCCATCATCCGCTCGTTCGAGGGGAAGTCCATCATGTACCAGAACAGCCTCCGCACTCAAATGCAGAACATGAAGTGCACGCCCGACGGCAACCTCCGCGAGCACCTCGCGACGCTCGCGCAGGCGCGCGAAACCCTCAGCAGCTACGATAACACCCTCTCGGACAAAGAGTACAGCGCGATGATCATTGCGAGCCTCCCCGAGATCTACCACGGCCGCGTCAATTCACTCGTCGACGCCGCGCGTGTCACGAACCACACTCTGGGAGTCGACATCCTGATCCACACGCTCGAAGAAGAATACGACCGACGTGCCGAGGCGCGCGCATCGGGCGAGTCCGCTCTCACAACCGGGGCCGGCAGGCCCATCCACAAGTGTTTCAATTGCGGACGACCGGGTCACGTGCAGAAGCACTGCCGCGCACCGGGTGGCGCGATGGAGGGGCAGCCGTGGCCAAAGGCAAAGGGGGGCAACGGTGGCAACAACAATGGCGGCAACAACAGAGGCACTGGTGGGAGCGGCACGGGCACGGGCACGACCACCAACAACACTGGAGGTGGTGCGGGGTCAGGCAACATCGTCAAGAAGAACGCGGTGGCTTTCGTCGCGCTACAGAACATCGCGGGCGTAGCGCTCGCAGCACGCCCCGGTGAGTACATCGAAGTGTACGACAGTGGAGCGTCGGCCCACATCTCACCCTATCGCCATCGCTTCTTCAATTCCACGACCTCGTCCCCGTGCGACCCATCACAGCTGCCAACGGGGACACCTTTGACGCCGTGGGAGAAGGCGACATGGAAGTCTGCGTGCTCGACGTGGACGGACTACCAACCACCATCACCCTGCGCGACGTCCTATACGCACCTGGCATCGGGTTCTCTCTAGTCTCCATCTGCAAGGCCGACGAGGTGGGTTACTCCGCCATTTTCGCGCACGGGGAGTGCCAGCTGCAGTCGCGCGAGACCGGCGACGTCGTCGCGCGCATCCCATCCTATCACGGACTCTATCAGATTGTATCTTGTTTCGCCGATGAACACGGAGATACAGCCACCCCACACCAGGCACCAACGACGAAATGGCGCTGAGCACGCGCCCGGCCAAGCACGGGCCGCTCACCATCAGCGTGATGGATCTCCACCGCACCATGGGACATATCTCGCTGCGCACCGCCCGCGACATGGTCAAGCGCGGTCACACGGACGGCATCGCGCTGTCGGATGCGGACATCTTGGCACAATGCAAGACCTGTGTCCAGGCGAAGCTCACACACAAGGCGATCCCAGACACCGCGCATGGGAGCGCGCATGACATCCCCGTGACGGCCTACGGCGACAAACTGCACTCCGACGTCTGGGATGCCGGTGAGGCTTCCCTTGGGGGCGACCACAAAGCCGTTGTCTTCATCGACGACCACACTGGCTGGGTGCACGCTACAACGCTGAAGTCCACGTCCGGCACATACCAAGCTTACCTTGACCTGGAGGCAGAGCTCAAGACGCAGCGTGGGATCACGCCAAAGTGGCTGCACTCCGACAACGGGCCCGAGTTCCTCGGGCTCCGCCTGCACCTCGCAGAGGCTGGGACGCACTGGTCAGCCTCCCAGCCGCATACCCCAGCCCAGAACGGACGCGCTGAGCGCAGTCTCCGCACACTCCGCGAGCGCGTCGCGGCGATGCTCTTGGACTCCAGGTTGCCGTTCACAATGTGGGCGTTCGCGTTCCGTTACGCCGCGTTCTTGCACAACCGCACAGCGCGCGGCGGGCCGTCCCCGTATGAGCAGCGCTTCGGTACTCCCCCGTTCCTCGGTGGCCTACGCCCGTTCGGCGAGCGGATGTGTATATACATCGAACACACACGCAAGTTGGCCCCCAACACAGAGGACGCGCGCTTCGTCGGGATGAGCACGCACCATAAAGACTCCGCTCTGGCGTACGTCCCGCGAAAGCACAAAGTCGTACTCGCGCGCTCCTATGTTTGGGACAGTGGGAAGGCACTGGGGCGCCCGAACCGAGTTTCGATGACGCGGAGATCTCAGGACATGCCCACGATGGGAGCGAGGGGCGCGGATTGAGGACGTCGCGGACGACGCTCCCACCGCAGGCGCATGTGACGAGGAGATAGCCAAGCAGGGAGAGCACGAGCAGGAGGCACAGGAGCAGGGGCGCAGGAGCAGGGGGCGCGCGAGCAGGGGCGCGCGGACACGAAGAGGACGATGAAGGCGGAGGGGAGGAACAGGAGCGAGAGGACGAACAGCAGGAGGAACTCGAGGTGGTAGAGGAGGCGCCAGCCAAGGTTGAAGGAAGCACTGGGTCACGGACACCGCGTACGGCAGCCCTCGCGCTGGCTGCGCGACATCCAGGACGGAGTCGGGACGACGGATGGACGAGCACGCGCCCACACGGCACACGCGAAGGACATCATGGGAGATCTTGTCGCGCTTGCCAGCGTCATCCCGGAAGCCACTAATGCACCACAGCCCGAGGTTACCTCCTTGGACGAAGCGTACCGCTGGGCCGCGCACTACGCACTTGGTCTAGTCCAGCTCAGCGACGATCCGAAGAACTTACGCGAAGCACAAGCGTCGCCGTACTGGGGACAATGGGAGCAGGCGAGATGGACAACCTTCGGCGCCACAAAGTCTTCTGGGTTGTCGACTGCCCACCCGACGCCAACGTCATCGACACCACGCAGGTCTTCCACCAGAAGCTTGATGCCGAAGGGATGATCAAGGAGTTCAAGGTACGGGTCGTCGCTCGAGGATTCCAGCAGTGGGAATACCACGAGACCTTCTCGCCCACCGCGAAGCCAGCCACCATCCGCCTCATGTGCGCGCTTGCCGCGCGTAATGGATGGCCCCTCCTCCAGCTTGACGTCCGGAGCGCGTATCTCCTTGCACCACTCGATACCCCCGTCTACGTCCGACCACCCCCAGGCATGCTCGCGCCAGGCGACGAGGGGAAGGTGTGGGTTCTAGACCGCGCGCTTTACGGGCTTCCGCAATCGGGCCTCGCGTGGTACGTGAAGTTCAGCGGCGACCTCCGGAAGCTTGGGTTCACCCGCAGCGAGCGCGACCACTCGCTGTTCACCAAAGGGGAGGCGCAGGTGCGCGTCATGCTCGCGACCATCGTGGACGACATGTTCGCGACTGGACCGCCGGAGCTGCTCGAACCTTTTCGTGCTGCGATCAAGGAGCTTTACGATGTGAAGGATATGGGCGAGCCGGAATTCGTCGTTGGTATCGAGGTCCACAGGACGCGCGAGCCGGAGCCCGACCTCATCTATTTGTCCCAGCGCGCGGCGATCGACGCTCTCGTGCGCACCCTCGGCCTCGTAGGCGCCAATAGCCTGTCCACGCCATGGCTCTCGGGCACCGTCCTGTCCAAGGACCAGTGCCCTACAACCGACGCCGGGATCGCGGAGATGAAGAGATACCCATACCGCGAAGGCGTAGGCGCGGCCATGCACATCGCGGTCACTACCCGCCCCGACATCGTGTTCACTGTACAACAGCTCTCCCGTTTCATGTCCAACCCCGGGCGCGCGCACTGGGAGGCTTTGAAGCGCCTTGGCCGGTATCTTATCGGCTCTCGGGAACTTGCGCTAGTATATGGGCGTAACCGCGAAGGTCTGGCCGGCTTCACCGACGCGAGCTGGGGCACTGGAGACGACACCCGGCACTCGGTATGCGGATACATCTTCACCCTGGATGGCGGCGCCGTATCGTGGTCTGCCAAGTGCCAGGCCGTCGTCGCGCTATCGACTACGGAATCGGAATACATCGGCCTGACGCACGCAAGCAAGGAGGCCGTCTGGTTGCGCGGACTGCTCATAGAGGCGTACGACACGACGTTCGAGGACTACCCTATGCAGCTGTACAGCGACAGTATCTCTGCGCTCGACCTCGCCAAGAACAACGCCTATCACTCGCGCACCAAACATATCGACCTACGCTATCACTACATCCGCGAACGGGTCGAGGCGAAGGACATCGCGCTCGGGTATCGACGCACGGAGGACATGCCGGCGGATGTGTTCACGAAGGGTTTGGGGCGCAAGCGCATGGACCACCTCGCCGAGATCTACGGTCTGGTCCCTCTGCCGCGCTGAGGGGGCGTGTTGTGGTCGTCGCGCGTGCGCTACACGCGCGTAGCGGAATGGGTCAGCGCGTCCTCGGGGCGGCTGACGGGCCGGGCCGGGGAGGACCGGCCATGGACTTTGATGACTGGCTTAGGACTAATGAGCGCTCGCGTGGCCTGGGCGCGCGAGCGTCGATCGCTCCCGTTTGGAGAGTCCCCGCACCAGATATACTGGTGGGGGCTCGTCCGGCTTCCTCACGCATCTTGCTGCTACCCGCGCGCGTGAGGAAGCTGGTACGTCTCTCACTATATGACTATGTATGACTGTGCACTCACATGGCATGTACTATGGCAGACCTTATCGTCTGCCAGGTGAATATACTCACGCATCTTGCTGCTACCCGCGCGCGTGAGGAAGCTGACCTTATCGTCTGCCAGACGCTCGCCGTGTATCGTCGCTATATCTCCAACAAAGAGGTCGAGATGAGGGCTAGGATACGAAGTGCAAGTGCTAAGTGAGGGCGCGACACGGGCGCTTAAGTGCGGGAACGACCTTCCAATATAGTAACAGGCAGAGAAAAGGCAGAGAAAAGGCGAAAAATAATACATAGGGCGAGTCCAGAGTCCGTTCCACGACACTCAGCGGCCGCAATGCGAGGGAGGAGGGATTGAGCTCACCTGCGCTCTTGGGCAGCAAGGCAGCACAGGTATCACCGCGAAGGAGCAGGTATGCCATGAGTAGGAGACAGGGTCCCAACAAGAGACGAGACCTGAACAAAACGCAGCGCGACTAGTCGCCGTCTGCCAGCACTGTCTGCGCGCGATGCCAGGGAGGAGGGATTGCGCTCGCCTGCGCTATTTGGCAGCAAGGCGGCGGGGGCTCGCCTGCGCCCTTTGGCAGCACGGCGGCGGGGAGGTGGGGACGCACCGTGAACCACCAGGAGTTCATGAAGCAGCGTCGAACATGGACGCAGTTGCCCACGTCACCCACCTCGCCTGTCTCGCCATCGCCCACCTTGCCTGCATCTCCAGCGTCCCCCGCGTCACCCCCACGCCGCCCGTCTCGCCGTGCGTCACCTGCATCACCCACCTTGCCCCGCGTCACCCCCGCACCACCTGCACCACCTGGCTGGCCCCTCGTCACCCACCTCACCCCCTTAACCGTGCGTTGCTCACCTCTCCCGCGTCGCCCATGCACATTGTTTCCAACCCACCCTCTCACCATAGATCACGAGCGCGAGCGCGCCCCCGGTGCCACATGCCAAAGTCTCGCGCATGCTGTGATACGCACCTGCGGCGGAGGTCGACCGCATGGAGGCCCTCCTCCACACATTCTCCTTCCAACACGAACCCAACGACCCCCGAGGACGGCGGCGGCGGCGGCGCGCAGTACGGCGTGGTGAGCGTGAAGGGTGAAGGGCTCTTGGGCAAGCGTGTGGACGGCGATGACGCGGGTGGCTCAGTCGATGGTGGGGTCACCCCTGCGTGACGAGGATTCTGGGTTGCGGATGTATAGGCAAGCCCGCAAACACGTCCTTTATTCAAGCCGCGTGTGTGTCGCTGCATGGCCCGGCCTGGCCCACGGATGGATGCGTGCGCATTCCCCGCCCTCGCCGCGCCGCCGCTCGCGGATGGGACCCCGCACGTCGCCGCGTTCGAGTGCACGGTGCCCCATCGGTGGGTCACGTTCGGGGACGCGGACCTCGAGGTGCTCGTGCGCGCCTGGCTCGCGTGCGCCTGGTTCGCGCTCACCCGGCTGCTTGTCCGGCACTCCTCCTTCCTGGACTACTCGGAGTCGTCGTCTCCGGCTACCCAACCTGGGCCGGGGTTGTGCACGTGCTTGTGCATCGAGAGTGAGCCGGACGCGATGGCGCGTACTTGTGGCACACGTGGAGGGGTGAACGTCAGTGCAACGGGTGGGGGGAGATGTGGAGAGCAATTCTCGGGCCACAATTTTTGATGCATCCTCCGCTGGAACTCAACCCATGTGTTCTAATGTCGTCCATATTGTTGAATATTCATCTATCTTTTGAACTATCGTATCTTTGTGTGTGCAGAGACTTGCCCAATAAGAGATTATTAGCACAACTTGAGCCCACCTTGAAACAGTCTCGCACACAATGCTATGATTTGCAAAAGTTAGAACTACATTAGCACTAATCTGCAGATGAGCACCAATTATTGCTCCATTATCTGTGTTAGACTGTGTGTTAGAGCAATAAGTGCTAATATGCAAGTGAGGGTTTTCCTGATGAGCACAGCGCCTGCGCGAGTGAGCACTCCTACTGCCTGTGTACAGCATCTTGCACAGATGGGGGTTGTGTGATAGTCGTGTGCATGGACCATGGGGACGCGTGTGGTTCGTTCGACGGGCAGATGGTGGACGGAAGCCCAGTCCAAAGAGGTGCAGAGGGTGGAAGTAAGAGTAAAGGCGAGACCGGTCTTCAACTGGGAGTGATAGTACATGCTCCACCAAAAAAAAAAAAGAGAAAGAGGGTGAGAGCACATCATGACGTGTCGTGATGATGGTAGAGCCTGCTGGGAACACATAAAGCATGAGCGGGGCCAAGAAGCAAAGAACTTTCAACTCCGGAGGACTCTGGACACCGCGTCCATACTGAGGTCATCGGCGCACCATCTATATAACAAGTAACACACAACAAGACTTTCGTAACAAGCAGAGCGGACGAGAACGTTGAAAGCGAGACGAGCGAGAAAACGATATCCGCCCATCAGCCAGTCAGCCCAGCGATGGCGAGTGCGTCCGCCTCCTTCTCCTCTTTGGCCGGCTTGGCGTCGCGCGCGGTGCTCGCGGCGTCCGCGCACTCGCGTCCCACCTCGCCGCGCTGGTTTTTGAAGAAGACAACGTCCCCCTCGTCCTCGATGAACGTGCACTGAGTGAAAGAGCGCCAGAGCGCGTAGATCGTCGGCTGCCGGGGCACGACGTGAGCGTCCGCGGACGTCGACTGCGAACGAACGAGACAAGGGGGCGCACCGTCGAGTCGTAGCAGTAGTACTCGCCCAGCACGGGCTTGATCGCCTTCGTCACCTGCGCGAGGTTGTCTGGCCCCGCGCGTCAGTCTCGCGCGCGCGCAAACCAGACGAGCAGGCACTCACAGAACGGGACGTTCACGAAGAAGTGGTGCGCGACGTGGTGGTGCGCGATCTGACCACGCGGGCGGGAGGTCAGCTTCCCTTCGGTGGGTGCGCGCGGAGGGACGTACGCCGTGCCAGAAGAACTCCCCGATCCAGCCGAACACGGGGCGGTCGACGGTCGCGAGCGCGCCGCGCGCGAACGTCCACGTTTTCTGCGGGCGATTGGGCAGAGATGAGCGTTTGCTTGGCCAGACGCGCCTGGACGAATCCGGACGCACCTCGCGGTAGTACGGCACCGTCGGGTCGCTGTGCTGGAGGTACGTGAACATGACGATCCAGCTGTGCGCCCACTGCGCGCGCAGTGTCCGAAGTCAACACTTTGACCAATCGTGCGAGGAGGAGTGGGAGACGCACGAGCCAGGGTGTGAAGTAGAGGCTCCAGACCGCATGGAAGCCGGCAAAATAAGACCAAGTCGTGAGGAAGACGAGCATGCATCCGATCGCGATATCGGAGACGATGATTGCGTTGCCTGGGAGCCAAGAGGAACGTAAGTCAAGGCCGGCGGATGACGTGAGGTAGGGATAGTCTTACGGTCTTGGGGTTTGAAGAGCTTGGAGTCGGGGTTGTAGTGCTGTGTCCAGGATAATTAGCGAGTGCGTTCCGATTCTCAAGAATAACGGTGCATACGCTGGTCCAAGGAGGGTACTTGGGGTTGCCCTTGCGGTTGTGGCTGAACAAAAGTTAGGGGAATACCGAGGGAGCGGGCGGCAGCCATGCTTACATCAGATAGAGCTGGAAACCGCTGAACAGAGTTCATCAGCAATGTGGAGAACATAAATTAATCCGGCGCGCGTACAGGAACTGACGGATGACCATCTTGAAGAGAGTAAATCCCGGGGTCTCTTCCAGGATCTCCTTGTAGTCCATCTTGGTTGCGTGCTCCACATCTGGCAGGTTCTTGAAGTCAGACCGCACCATCGGGTGATACGTCTCATCGCGCGACAGGTGGTTTGTTCCTTTCTGCGAACGGAAACATGAACGTTCGGATCCGCGACATGCACGCAAGCCAAGAGACGCACATGATGCGCGCGGTGCGTCAGCCGCCACGCAAAGTACGGCGTCAGCATGAAAGTGTGCAGGCCCATGCCGCACGCAATGTTTACCCACGCGTGCGGCGAAATCGCATCGTGGCCGCACTGTGGGGTCGCATCTCTCAGCACACGCACACGCCTGCGCCGATCACAGCAGCCAGGCGCACCTCGTGTCCTGGAACGCAAATGGCACCCGTCAGTTTACTCTATTTCCGCCCGGGCGAGACACTCACCGAGCGTCCACATCCCCGCGAAAGAGACGCTCTGCCAAAACCAGTACAGCACCCAGCACGCCCACCCGAGCGCCGAACGTCCAGAGGCGCCCCACCCGAGCGCGCTCGCGGCGCGCCAAGCGATCAGGTCGGTGCGCGTGGCGAAGGCGTAGAAGAGCGCGCTGAGGGCGACGTGGCGGACGACGTAGAAGACGCCCTTGACGGTGTTGCGCTCGAAGAGGTGGCGCGGGATGGCGGCATGGACGTCCTTGATGGAGACCGTGGGCGGAACGAACTTGCGCGCCTTGCGTTGCTCGTACTCGGGGGCATCGTGTCCGAGCCACGCGAGGACATCGTCGGAGGTGAGGGCAGGGGCCTTCACCTTCGCTGCGGAGGCCATGGCGGGGGCGGGAGAGGGAAGAAGGGAGAAGGAAGAAGAGTGCGAAGCAGGCTGGAGGATCTTTTTCTCGCGAGCTTAAAAGCTGGTGGGGACGTTCTTGCCTCATGGACCGGCTGACAGCGGGCTCGTGGAGGCTCGGAGGGGCGCGACCGTTGGGAATGACGCCCTTCGGATTCTCACACGAGAATACAGAGATGCGACATTGGTGGGCTCGGTGCAGGACATGGACATGCCGCGAGCTTTGATCTACTTCAAGGAGGCGGAGATGAAAGCGCGGACTGCAGATTGGCCCAGTCCAACTCAAATGAACAGGCTCACTTCTCACTTGAGGTAACGACCCGCCCAATAGACGGCTTGTAAGAGCGGCTCTGCAGGTGTAGCTCCGTCTTGGACTGTTCACATGACGTGGGAGGCAGAAGTTGATGAAAAGACTCGGTCAAAGTGGAAAACATTGAACCAGGCTGGCAGCGCCATCTTCAGGCGTCTGTTTAGAGGCACATGACTATTCCCACACTCGCCTCGGAGAGTGGCGCTTTGCACTGCAGTGGGACCTCCCTTGAAGGACTAGCATAGACTCCGCAGCAATCAACTTCAGGCTTCATGGGTACATACTACTGAGATACGGTCTACAGCGAGAAATGGTGGAGGATGGTACTAGCCACAAATATGAGAAAGACGGGCCTGTGCTCTGGAAAGCCAATCATCTTCGTCCGAAGAAGTGAGCTCAATAACGTCGTCAGGCGTAGGCGGCCGCCTTCTGACCACCTTGGGCACAACGGCTGCTGACATAGCCTCCTCACATTCGCTCTCCTCTTCCTCCTCCCTCGACGCAATCGCTGCAGCCACCACCTGGGCTACGCTCACCACTGGCGGGGATAGGGGTTTGGGCACAGTAGGCGGTGCAGCAGGTGCCTTACGAGGTGCCCTCGTCAAGTCACCCGCGCACGCATCGACGTCCACTGTCCGTCCATGCTCCTCCGCGATGGCGACCAAGCATTTGTACACCACTAGCGCGCAGTGTGCGTCGTTCGCCGCGTACTGACGCTGCTCTTGCGAGAGCGGCTGCGCCTCCCAGTTGCTCGTGCGCACAGGGCCCTTGCTGAGCGTCTTGTGCGTGTACTGCTTCACGATCTTGGCGAGTGCAACGATCGAGCGGTTGAAGGGGAACGCCGGGTCGGTGTGTCGCGCGAAAGTGCCTAGTTCGACAAGACCAGCCGCGCGAACGCCATAGTCGCGGTAGAGCTTGTGTCCATCGTCTGCGGAGGGCATCTTTGTGAGATACGGGGAGGGCAGGCTGGCGGTGAAGCCTACTCTTTATATTCGCGCCCAGTTTGATTCTGTGTTTGTCCTCTATCACTGCTTTCACGCCTTGTGGGAAGTCTGGGAATGTAGGCGAGGATCATCAGCCCGTTTTCAGGTGAGCAAACGAGTCTACCGACGTTTCATGGCGCTCAATTGTACCAGGAGGATGATCCGCTCGCTACTCAGCTGGAGGAGAGCAGTACGGTTCTCTCTTGGCGCCTTCCCGCGACGGAAGTGGACGACCCACTCCAAGTCGAAGCCGAGGGGTCCCGGCATGACGCGGACCATCTCATTCGCTTCTTCCTCGTCGCGTGTGTAAACAACGGCGGGACTTGGCTTGAACCGCGTGTACGAGTACACGGAGCTCAAGCGCGACTTGGACGGGCCAGCTTGAGGGTGGCTGAGAGTAGCGGTAGAGGACTCAGGTCGGTTCTCGACATCACTGTTACGCTGATTGAGCGCAGTGCCAAAGGTCGCGGACTTCTTGCCCAGTGGGGGTCTAGGCATGGCTTGTTGTGGCGCGTATTGAGTCCTACATCTCCTGTTGAGTGTGACCATGACCAAGAAAGACAGCGTAAACATACTCGTTCTGTACTCTTGGGATGTTACGCGCTGCGTCCGATGCTAGGGGGCCGGCTCTTGCAGCCTGTGCCGGCGATGGATCGACTTTCATCATTGCGTCGAGAACGGCGAGTATCTTCGACCTTGGCTTCGCCTTGCTGGTATCGGTCTGAAGGGTACTTGTAGATCTTGCGTCCATCTTCACGCAGTAGTCGTGCAGGCACGCAATGAGTGTTGTAGCGGATATTTTGTTGAAGCAGAGGACGGATTAACAAACCGAACATGAGCGTCTACAGCTGTTGCCGAAATGATTGCCCGACCAACTCCGACGCTACGCGAGCGGCAACAGGCACGAATGCTCCGAAAAATTCGGAGAAATTCGGGAAAGTCTCACCGCGCGCGCACGACCTGACGCGAGCCGACGCGAGCGACGCAGAAAATTCGGAAAATGATGGAAATTGGGGTCGGACAGCGAGAGCGTGCCAGCGACACCTTGTACGCTTCTGTTTTTACCTCCTTCCTGCTCTAACACTGGCTCTACATATCTTTCCGCCACATGGACGACACAGAAGGCAACAGAGAGATGCGCGACGCACGGTTTTGTCGCACGTCGCAACTTCCTGCCTGGTCATGGGCGGCGAAGCACGTCTCGAGGAATACGCGCGACATCGTCTTGAGCACCACGAAACACGTCACAATCCACAGCAGTGCAAGCGACACGTAGAGGACAACCTGCAGCACACTGTTGACGATGACGGCGAGGATCGTACAGCACTCGCCGTCGCCCCGCGCGCCGAGCACATTCCACACAACGACCACCATGATGCACCGCGTGAGACTGACCATGCTCAAACCCATGTGGTACCTTGAGAGCGCGAGCGCGAGATGCAACGCCATCGTGCACGTATGAAGCAGCACGGGTAGGGACTGGGAGAGCTTTAACGGTGTTCGTGTCGGGGCCGAAGCATGAATTCACAGAAGCAACTACAATGCATAGTACCTACAGGCAACCGCTATGCCTGTACCAGCCGTGAGCCTTCTCCGGGGTGACAGCAGCATAGCAGGCCTCAATGAGCTCGTTCTCCGGAAAGGCGTCGTCTCCACCCATGTAGTCCCGTTGCCGACGAAGGTATATGAGCAGACACCCTTTGCACCGTTAATACGGCGAAATTCCAGCCGAAAGAGCATGTTCCGCACTCACTGGCTGCTTCCACTGCCTCGCAAACTGCTTCACTCGTGTGTGTGCGGCAATTGTCGACAATGAGAACACTGTTTGGGCTCGAGAACGGGTTCATCTTGGGCAGCTATCAAAGAGACCGCTGAGACGGGATGAGGACCGAGACGAGTTGACACGACATACCAGCTCTGTGACAACCCAATTGTAGGACTCCACACCATCCTGCACCACCCACACGGGGAGAATGTCGTCCAATGTGAGGGCGGGGAGGACGGAGAAGCGTCGGCCCTGGTCAGCCAGCACGCTGCCCATTCAAAGCGCACTCATACAGTTCGGTTGTCCTTGTTTGACTCGTCCTGGGCGTGCCACCTTGAATGCCGGGTGATCTCGTCGCGTTGGGCTGCCTCCTTTCACATTTTCTTGTACGAAAACCCGAGATGGACGAGGGTACGGTGGGCAGTGGTGAGAGAGATGCGAATACCGTGGGTTTCAATGCACCACTTGACGACTTCGTCGTCGAGGTACATCGAAGGGTGGGAGAGGAGATATCGTGGATCCTCTAGGACCGCAGGTGGAAGCAGAGGGCAGCGACCACAGAGAATCCGGCTGCTCTAATGTCTTGTAGTCGTCCTCCCATCGTCGGATAGAGCGTATAGACACTCCCAGGACTTCAGCCACGTCGACCCGCGACCAGCCTTGAACCGACCGCAAGTAGATCGCACAAGCCTTGAAGCTTGATATCTCGCGAGATATAGCACCCAGGCATGATGAGATGTGAAGCAGAGACAAAAGGAATGGAGCGGAGGGCGCAAAACCGCTGCAGACGATGAGGACGATTTTTTTCGATTTTTTCGATTTTCTCGTGTGCGTTCGTGCAGCTCGCGTGTGATGCGAGCTCGCGTATCATCGGAGTTGGTCGGGCAATCATTTCGGAAACAGCTGTAAGTGGCTGGCACGGCACTAGGCGCGTTTTCCACGTGACCGCGTCGGTGCTAAAGGCCATTGATCCGCACCTGCCATATCGGGAGAGCGATACCTCGTCCCGGCCGATTGCGAAAATTTCGTCCTCATCGGTCGCTGCAGCGTGCACACCCGACCTCCATCGCCCCCTTCTCCCCCCAAAAAATCCACGATGGCCACTGTCGTAGAGCTCCCAGTTGTCCCACCACCACTCCCTGCGTCCTGGACGCCTCCTGCAGCCTCGGGCAAGACCGTCTCGCGTAAGTCCTGGCAGATCTCTAAATGGCAGAATCGATTCTAATTCGATCTATAGCCCTCGTCGAGCGGAAGCTGCTGCCTGCTGGTCAAGCCTACCTCGCGCATGTACGACGGGCTGTGCACAATCTCACCTTCGAGGAGCACGACAAGCACACCGAGGAGGAGCAGAAGCGGTTAGCGGCCTTGAACGGAAATGGTGCCGCAGTGGAGGATGATCTCGGTGTCGGCGACGAGGAGGAGGCCATGGAGCTGTCGCTGCTCGACCCAAAGGAGTGGAAGGTGCGTCACCCACCCAGCCAGGCCGAGGCTTCCCCCGTAAACCGCCTGGCTGCAGAAACAAGACCACTACGCCGTCCTCGGTCTCTCGAGCCTCCGCTACCGCGCGACGCCCGATCAGATCAAGATTGCACGTACGTCTTGACCCCACTGTATGCGCCCGTTCTCCTCATCTGACCCCGCCCCTCCCTCTCGCAGACCGGAAAAAGGTGCTCAAGCACCATCCCGACAAGAAGGCAGGTGCTGTCGGGGACTCGAACGACGATGCGTTCTTCAAGTGCATCCAGAAGGCGAACGAGGTGCTCATGAACCCGGAGCGGCGCCGGCAGTTCGATTCCGTGGACCCGTACTACGACGAGCTCGAGCAGGACACGCCGACGGCTGCGCAGGTCTCGCGTTCGAAGAACCCGGACAAGGCGTTCTTCCAGCTCTACGGGCCCGCCTTCGAGCGTGAGGCGCGATTCAGCCGAAAGGAGCCCGTGCCGATGCTGGGAGGCATCGATGCCCCGAAGGAGGCCGTCGAGGGCTTCTACGACTTCTGGTACAACTTCGACAGCTGGCGGAGCTTCGAGTATCTGGACAAGGAGGTCAATGAGGGCAGCGACAAGTGCGTTGATCATCTATTCCTTCCTTTTCGCTCGCGCTGAGAGCGTTCTGGCAGCCGTGATGACAAGCGGTACACCGAGAAGAAGAACAAGTCGGAGCGTGCGCGGCGCAAGAAGGAAGATACCGCCCGTCTGCGTGGCATCGTGGACGCCGCGCTCTCTGTCGACCCTCGGATCAAGCGCATCAAGCAGGAGGAGAAGGAGGCACGTGAAGCCAAAAAGAAGAACAAAGGCGGTGTGAACGGTTCGGCGAACACGAAGGAGAAGGTGGAGGAAGACAAAAAGAAGGCGGAAGAGGAGGCAAAGAAGAAGGAAGAGGAGGAGAAAGTGCGTCTTACTTCGCCATCCCTGTTTGCATCACGCTCATTGCCTCTGTCTCACAGGTTGCTCGCGCGGAGGCCAAGAAGGCGAAGGCCGCTGCTGCCAACGCTGCAAAGAAGGCGAGGCGTCAGCAGCGTGCCGCGGAGGACGGCGCTGCATAGTCGTTAGTGGTTGCGTTCGTTTTGTGGACTTGGTGACTCTCCTACCCCCATCGCATTGTTATCGCCCCTGCATCCTCTGACCCTGTCAGACCCTGTCTTGCACGTATTGTATACCTTTAGAGGCGCTTGCCCTGCTAGACCCATGTGATGTAGCTGTCTTTCGTCTCTCCAATCCACCATATGTACCTCTATCGTCACTCCCATTTGCAATCTTGCTTCGGAGGGCGCTGTCAGTGAGTACTGCATACACCGTCTCCAAAAGTACAACGGAGGTGCGTCCGGGTCCTCCCGTCTCGGGTAACTCAAGTTCCTTGCAGGAGACGGCCGTCGTCTGAACTAGAGCTCTACTCTCTTCATCACAAAGATCGTCGACGGCCATGCGGCGAGATTTGGCCTGGCCAGACTAAGCGGTGCTCTCTGAATGGCGATCATGTCCGCCTTCAGAGCACGCACTCACACGTCCGATGCTGCAGGTAAGTCACCAGAAGTCCCTCGTGTGTACCTAGTACTCACGGCTTTGCCACACAGAAAGGCACACATGGTACATTCACTGCCGACTGTGGTTTTCCGTGCCGCAGCGTGCACCAAGTCGACGCTGCGGCAACAGATGCCGTAGAGTGCTTAAGAGGCCATCCTCGGATACTCCTTGGTGCACTCTCCATCACCGACTATGCCTTCCAACCCCTCCAAAACCTCTCCAGAACATACGCAGACGAACCGGCCTGCGGTGTTCTTCCGGAACTCCGCCATCGGCGACAGCATCATTCGCTCCGTCGACGGCGAACACTTCCACGTCCACGCCGACATCCTGTCCAGCGCTATCCCCTTATTCGCAGATATGCTCTCCCTCCCCCAGCCTTCTTCCTCCACCGACAGTCCCCCTAGCGATTCTGAAGTACTTAACAACTCAAAGAAGAAGCGCGTTATCCTCACGCAAGAGTCCTCCACCGTCTGGACGACCTTCATTCCCCTCTGCTACCTCCCGGGCTTCCGCCCGCCCGCGCTCCCCGCCGACCTCACGCTCGTCCGCGACCTCCTCGCCGCCGCCGACAAGTTCGAGCTGCGCGCCGCGACCGACTGGGTCTCCGCCTCCCTCCTGGGCCGCTGCCCGCTGCTCAAAGCGCACCCGCTGAGCGTGTACGCGCTCGCGTGGGCGTACAAGCTCCCCGAGGTCGCCCGGCTCGCCGCGCGCCGCGCGCTTGCGCTCTCCCCGGACGACTTCGCCGCGCTCCCGCGCGAGTTCGACGCCGTCGCCGCGAGCGAGGCCTTCGGCGCGCTGAACGCGTACCGCATCGCGTGCAGCGCCGCCGCGCGCGCGGTCACCGCCGCGTCCGTGGACGGCCGCCTCCCGCGGTGGCTGCGCGCTCTCCCGCACGGGAAGGAGCTCGTGCGGTACAAGCCGGAGCTGTGCGAGAAGGAGTTCGACCACGAGATGGGGGCCCAGGTGGCGCGCGTGCTGTCGCGGGCGTCGTCGACGACGGCGTCGCTCCGGCGCACGCTGTCGGAGCGGGGGGCGCAGCTCGCGGCGCGGCTGCGGCTGCGCTCGCCGTCGACGTCGGGCGCGGGGCGTGGGGGCCAGATCGAGCGGGTACAGCGGAGCACGTCGAAGGTGATGCGGATCTATGTCGCGCCCAGCTCGGAGGGAGGGAGCCTGCCGCTCAGGAATTACCTGGAGGAGCTTACGCGGGCGCTGGAGTTCAGGCCGCATGCGGAGATCGCGCGGTCGCAGGAGATGAAGGATATCCTCTTGGAGAGCGTGGTGGAGAGGTGGGGCCGATGCGAGGAGTGCCACGAAGGCGTCTATCCATTCTTGGTGGATAACGTGACGGAGGCTATTCGAACTGAGCTGGAAAAGGCCATCGAGAAGGTAGGTCACCCTGATGTTGTCGCAAGAGGTTTTCTCAATCACCTTCGCGTCAGGTGACACTCAGTGGATTTGTGTGACTTATGGGGAAAGTGTACACCACCTTGATAACACAATCGTACATACTTACGTGCTGAATATCCTGCATGCTCCGCTGTTCTTTTGTTTTTGTCGCAGAGAGGCAGACAACAAAATTTTTCAGGAAGTGATTGCACATGGTGAGAGCGGGTTTCGAACCCAGACCATCCCGATTTCAATGCCCGTGGCACCCTAGTGGGGCACCTCAGACAGCTCGGCCATCTCACCATATACAAATTCTTTTTGCATAACAATATACTATGCTCAGATGACGCGACGCGATCACGCGGTCTGGAAGCGATACGAACCGGACGCGCGGAAAACGCGTTTCCAACGGCATCCCTTCCGCGCTCACTCTGCCTGCTCCCGCCCCCCCACTTATCCTCTCCCCCGCGATGGCCTATCCTCCGAAGACACCCACCCGCCATCGCTCTCGCTCGGAGACAAAGACACCCCTCTCGTCATCTATTTTCGGCACCAACAATCTCGCTGACGCCTCGAACCCCTTCATCGTACCGAGTCGCAATGCATCGCCATCGAAAAAGGCGTCAGGTAGCTCGTACCACGTCTCCGAGGCTCTTCAGAGGCAAGCAAGTACTGGCGTCATCCGGAAAGGCGGGATCGAGAGTCGACTGGATGTTGTCACACGGGATTATGTCCCTCCACCAAAGTCTGAGAAGCGGTCGCGGTCCCAGCCAACAGTGAGTCTCGCTATTATGTCTCCAACAATCCACTCTCTTCCACGTTCTTGTCTGTTGCTGGTGTACGATAAATGTGTGCGCCGCCCGCCCGGTGATGTCTGCTATGTTCATGCTTTATACCTCGTGCCACCCATCATCAGTACCGCCATAATAAGATCCAACCAGGCTTGCTGGACATCCATTCCTTCTCTAGTCTGCTTCCCATCATGGGCTCACTCCCTTCTCCCCCTTCTCCTCAGCGCGATACCAGAGATCGCTTCATCACCACCCGCGACACCGTCGATGAAGTCGCTGCAACTCTGGACCTCATGTCCCTCAATCCCGAATCCGCATCGCCAGGTCATACTGCGCGACTGGCCGCCGCCGCCGGAGTGCCACTGAACCGGCGCATTCTTGCATATCATGAACCTCCCCCTGCCGCTTCCTCTGATCCCCTCATGGCACAAGCTCGCGAGCTCGCACGCCCCCTCTACGCACGCGCCGGTGCCACAACAGCCAATTCCGCACCTGTCACTGGTACCAAGGACCGCAAAATCTCCAACCAGCCCATCCGGATCCTCGACGCCCCAGGCATCATCGACGACTTCTACCTTAATCTCCTCTCGTGGGGCTCCACCAACCTCCTTGCCATTGCTCTCATCAACGCCATCTTCATGTGGAAGGCGGAGACGGGCGAAGTTACCTCTCTGATGGAGGCCCCCGAAGATACCTACATCTCCTCTCTCGACTTCTCCAAGGACGGCACCTACCTCGGAATCGGTTACCCGACTGGTGTGGTCGAGCTGCGCGACGTCGAGACGCGCCAGAAGCTGAGGACGATGACCGGCCACTCCGCCCAGGTCGGCGTGCTTTCCTGGAACGGGCCCATCCTCAGCTCCGGCTGCCAGGACGGGAGTATCTGGCACCACGACGTCCGCGCGCAGCGGCACAAGGTCATGGAGCTCCTCGGGCACCAAGGCGAGGTCTGCGGGCTGAAGTGGCGCGCCGACGGCGAGCTCCTCGCGTCGGGCGGGAACGACAACGTGCTGAACATCTGGGACGGCCGCGTGGGCGACGCCAGCGCCGCGGACGCCGCGTCCGAGCGGTCCGCGGCGCGCTGGACGAAGCGGAACCACACCGCAGCGATCAAGGCGCTCGCGTGGTGTCCGTGGCAGCCGTCGCTGCTCGCGTCCGGCGGGGGCACGTCCGACGCGACGGTCCACTTCTGGAACACGACCACGGGCGCGCGTCTGCACTCGTTGACCACCCCGGCGCAGATCTCGAGCATCCAGTGGTGCGGGCACAAGAAGGAGTTCCTGACCACGCACGGGTACCCGACGAACTCGGTCATGGTTCACAGCTACCCGTCGATGGACAAACTCGCGGACATCCGGGACGCACACGACTCGCGCGTGCTCTTTTCCGCGCTGTCGCCGAACGGAGAGCTGCTCGCGACGTCTGCGGGCGACGAGTGCCTGAAGTTCTGGAAAATCTGGGACGCGCCGAAGGCGAAGAAGAAGGACGTGAAGGACTCGTCGTCGTCGTCGTCGCGGCACGGAAGCACGAACGCGGGGATCCTCAACTTGCGGTGAGGTGGGGCCTGGGTTGGCGTTACTGTATTACCATCCGTCTATCTTGTTTGTGATATTTTATAAGCACCGTCGGATGTCACAAAGTTCTAACAGCGGTTGCTTCGACTCATTTCAATTTGGCCCAAGAACATCGATTCGGGGCAAACGGCACACTTGCCAGCCTCGTCAGCCCATGTCCAGGCACGTAGTCAGCCATGATACATTCACTCATATGTACCGCATCCCAGGCCCTTCGCCATCATGGACACCATGGCCTCAACGCGCCCCGCGCTTCGGCGGGCAGTGTCGAATCCCGACGGCCCTTACACCACACCCCGAAACCTGTTCTTAGCTTCAACCGCCGCCCTGCAGCGCCTGCACTTTGCCTTCCCATCTTCGCCCACCGTCGTTGGAAGCCCTCTCGCCCCTTCCCCCGACGCCATCCCTTTCTGTCACCCATTCCAGACCTCCGCGACCCCCAACGGACCCGGCGGCTACGAAGAAGGCGTCATCACGGCCCTCGCGGAGCACATCGAGGACCTCGAGACGCTCTTGTTCGAAGCCATCGAGCTCAACGCGTACATCCCCACCGTCGAGGACGCGCTCGCTGCCGAACGCGGCGCGCGGCGCGCTCTCATGGAGGCCCAGAGCTCCCTTCGAGAGGAGGTCGTACGCCTACGAGCAAAGGTCAGCGACGACTCGTCCCGCGCGGATGAGCTGCGTGTCGTGCTGTCTCTGGCTTCTGCTCACCCATGCTCGGGGGCGGGGCCCGACGTACGGACGGAGGACGACTACCTGGCGCAGGTGCGGTGCACGCTCACAGCGCGTGCGGACGTGCGCGCGTGGCAGAGGCGGGCGGCGTTCTGGAGGCGGTTGGCTCTCGCGACTGGGGCCAACGCAGGCGTCGTGACACCTTCGGCCTCTGCGCTAGAGGACGAGACTTTGGTCGCGCGCGCGTCCCTAGACGAGAGGCATGCGGACGGCGATGAGTCGGTTTCCTCGGGACAAGTTGCCCACTCCGACGGATCGATCGATTTCGACAGTGCTCTCCCGACTCTGACACTGCAGTCGAGCTTGGAAGAATCGGTCAGCGACCCTGAAGAATGTGTCCGCCTCAGCTTCGCCCTCCCGTCACCGTCGCTGCCCGACACCTCCCTCCCCGCGGCGTCTTCTTCGATGGTCCTCCCGGCGCTCTGCGACTCTCCCCGCTCGCCCACCCTGCGCTTCTTCGCCGACCCTCCCCCCAGTCCGTGGGACTCCCCTGTCGCCTCTCCCTCTGCTCCCATCTCTGCGTCGCCGTCGGCCTCCTCTCAAGCCTCCGTCAAGTCACGCCGCCGCCGCGCGCAGGTGCTACCGCCTTTCCGCTCCGACTTCGACTCCTCGGCGTCCGGCTGGGACAGCCCCACCCCCAGCCCACTGGCGGAGTCGTTCTCTGCCGCCTGCGCGAGCGCGCTCCGCCGCTCCCCCTTAAGCGCGAGCGTCTCGTACGAGGACTCGGACGCAGACCCGCGGCGTCCCCCTCCCTACCCGGACCTCCCCCTCGTGCTCGCCCCCGACGAGCACGCCGCCCGCTCCGCGCTCCCCACCACGCTCGTCGCCGACGACGCCGACCTCGTCGTCGTCCTCCACACCGACTTCTCCGAGACGTCCTACGCGCCGACGCCCGAGCTCCCCTCCAGCTCGCGCTCGCTCTCGCCCCTCCGCGCCGCCGAGCCGGAGAAGAACGCGCGCCTGCGCGCCGGCCTCCGCGCGATCAAGCGCCTCTCGACGTCGCTCGCGCGCCCCGCGCCCGCCGACGCGTCGTCCATCGGGTACGGGCGCGACCGCAGTGCGAGCGTGGCGGGGCCGCCTGGGCTCGCCGCGGACGCGCCGCCGCCGTGGGCGGGCGCGGGGCTGAGCAGGACGATGCCGCACGCGGGCGCGGAGCAGCGGGTGCGGGCGGGGCTGGGGCTGAACATGTGGGACGAGAACGAGGGCTTGGGCGCGGGGCCGGGGGCGGGGAAGGGGCAGAAGGCGGGGAAGCTGCAGCTGTTCAGGAAGGTGTCTGGGTGACCCGTCGCGCGACTGAGGCTGTGACTTGGGACTGTGTTGGATGCGCTTGCATGACGTTGTTGCTAGGGTTGGATCGCAATCTCAACCTATGATCATTATCTCTGGAACATTGGAATTTGGCGTGTGGCCGGCTACTTACCTTCGTGGCGATTCCGTAAAGCCGCGCGCGCGCAATGTACGATATCGTGGAAGTACAAGTGTGAACGACCTCTGCAGTACGCCCCACAGTCGCGCGATCTACCGCAGCTGCGCCGCCCAGAGCTTCGCCACGACCTCTTTCAGGTGTATTCACCGGCGTAGGATGAGATCGCCTGAGGATAGGGACTGGTCATGGCAGTGGTCCGAAGACAAACAGCCATTAGCGCGCGAACCCATGCGCCCAAGAAAACATGGGCGTCAGACCGACCCCGCCACTCCTTCGACCACCGGGACAGCCTTCAAGCGTACGGATTCCCGTTCAATCATGCTGGACGCCTCTTGTTCGACTGGAAATACCCACTCGGCAGTACTTTGTACAAGCAGTCTCTTCATGCGCTAGTGCCACTCCGTAGTAGCAGGTACGCTTCGTATGGCCAGTGGCACTCACGACTTATATATAAGACGCACGCTCACTGTCTGTCGAGCACACATACCATCTCTCAAGTCTTTTTCGTACGCAGCAGCACAATTATGGTCGCTCAAAGTGAGTCATTTCTCTCACTGCCACGCGATCGAGACATTCTCAAGCACTGATCATGCTGTACTCAGTTATCCCTGTACCGCTTCCCCAGGACGTCGACCCGGACTGGAAAGTGGACATCAGTCCCCGCGTTGGTGGTCCTGGAATTTCACTTAGCGCGTTGCAAGGGCATCACCACAGCTCGAATGTGTTCAATGCCCCTCAGCTAGCATATATTGGGGTTCGAATGCGCTTCGCTCTTCAAGATTTGCTCGGGGTTGCCTTCATGACACAGTGTTGCACCTATCTTCTGTCTATTGATGTGTGCCACCCTATTGTGAGTCCTTTGATGAGCATGCACCACGAATTTCCAGCGATGCCAATGTACTGCCCCTGCCCATAGATCGACAACCAGATGCCGTTCATAGAGCAAAACATTACTATGATGGGTTTGGGAGAACTTATCATACTCATACTGGAGCAGACGTTCACGTGGCATAGCGAATTCCTTGGGGTGCGTACAAACTCCGCTAGCATCTCTTGCGATACATCGCTCACGATCAGCTCATTTATCCCAGACGCATTCTGCCCACCACTGGGACTCCATGATGTGGCTCGACGCTCCCGGTTGGGACCGCTTCAAAAAGCATCCACGGCTTGACCAAATCGTGATCCTTTCCATTCGCAGGACCAGACCGTCTCACGGTGAGAGGGTCATCTACTTCCCTGAGATCGGGGTCATTCCCGAGCTCTGAGGGACTACTATTACTTGTATGAGAGGCTTTGCAAGCTATCGGCGAGTACGTTGGGGGTGAACTAGCACGCATAATATAATAAAGGGACACGCGAATATAAATGATAGCGGCGAAAGGTCTATAGAGAGATTCTGATCGTAGCAAAAAACATGGGCGGGAGTCGGATTCGAACCCTCGGGCGCCCGTGCCAAGGGAAGAGCAAGTCGACGGCGGGCGCTCTGAACGAAGACGTCTATCCTCGATCCCCATGTCCTCCTACGGCAGGCTCCCTCACCGGGCTGCCATCCAACAATAACCGGCGGCCCGCTTGGGTACGACGAGTAACCCGCAGTACCGGCGCCATGCAATTGCAGTGATCGAGAAAGTGCACATCGTACAGACGAGGCCACTCAGCGCCAGCGTCGACCGCGCTGGCCACTACTCCTGCCCTGGTCCAGGTACTCTCGCTATGAGGCTATAGCGACAGACAACGTGCGGGACTTGGACACCGTTCGCAAGCGCCAAGGGAGGTCGGCAGGCGATGCTGCAAGCGTAGCTAGGGTGGCTCCAGTGCATAAAGAAGTTGGTGTAGATGCACTGGCTCAGCGAAATCAAGGTCTATCCCTGTATTCCATTGATCACGGCATGGAAGCGAAAAAATGGGACAAGTATGGTCAGTGCATTTCTCTGAGGGCACGTAGATGGTTGAATTCATGAGTACACACATATCATCGTCACGTTCATAACACATTACAAGTCGTACAGATCAAGCATTCCATCCCCTCGTGCCTCACAACCTGACCTCGATCTCAGGCATCCACTCAAAATCGCCCGGCCCCACAAGGCGCCGACGCAGCGCGAGCACATACACGTTCTCGAGCGTGATAGAGCCCGGTCCGAGGATGCGCCCGATGCGCGCGTCCCCAGCGCACGCCGCCCTCTTGCGCTGCCATTCCTACGCGCCAAAACGTGAACGTCAGCCGCGCTCTCCACATCGCCACAATTGACGTACCTCGTGCGCCCACCACTCCACGAGCGCAGTGACGACCGCGTGCACGAGGTCTCCGAACAACCAGCACGCCCCCGGCCTCGCGAACCCCTTGTCCCCCAGACGCACGCGCCACACCGGCCACTGCGAAAGAGCACCTGGCAGTCAGCAGCGGTCCCTGTACTCAATCGCGACTGGCGGAGACTCACCATGAACCCGGGGTCGGCGACGCGGACCCGGCCGCCCGGGAGGTGCTGGCAGACGCAGTACTCCGCGGCGTCGACGTGCGCGAACACCGCGGCGCGGTCGACCGGCGCGCGGTCGAGGCAGGAGCGCAGGTCCGCGTGGTCGTCCGCGTCCTGGAAGAGGTCCGCGAGCCTGAGGCCGGGGGCGCCGTGCGAGCGGAGCGTGAATGCGACCGTGCGGTCGACGTCTGGGGCCATCGGGAGGGGGATGAGGAGCGGGAGCTGCTGGACGTCCGGCTCCACCGCCGGGTGCGGCGGCTCGGGGATGGGTTGGACGGAGACCGTGGGGTGGAGGGGCACGCCGTGGTGGGGGCATGCGAACGGCAGTTGCACCGTGACGTTGAAGGTCGGGGTGCCGTCGCTCGGGGCCGCGGTGGTGACGCCCCCGTAGGAGGAGCCGAGGCCGTTGTCGTCCATCACGGTGTCGGGGCCTTCGTCCTCATTCTCGCCGTCGTCCTCGGAGTCGGAGTCGCTGAAGTAGGAGGTCGGCGAGAACGACTCCGGGGTGACGGTGGGCTGCCACACGATGGGCGGCCGGGGCCTGATGATCGGATCCGGAGAACTATCTTGCTTGATGGCTTGCTGGTGCGTGTCCGTCTTCTGGCCCTCGGCGATACAGTGATGAGCGATGGAGACCATGGTGAGAATCTTCGTTGAGATGAGTGTCGAGAGCGAAATCGAGTGGATGGTGACTTGGAGGAGTCTGCGCGGTACGACGGTCGTTCAGCAAGTTCAGCAGGGGATTATATATGCGAATGGCCACAACAAAGCGGATCTGAGAGGTTCAGGTCAGCCCCAAGCTTGAGCCACTGAAGGATACCGCTTGACAAGCGCAGAGTGGTCCACTACTCCGGCAAGGCCCCAGCGCCAGGCGCCACTGCGCAACATGCTCTGTGGTCGGAGGGAATTCCTACAACAAGGAGGTTCAGTAGGCTATCACCATCACAACAGGTGCACCAACCTTCAACCCTTCAGAGCCGTTCGTCCACAGTTGCACTTGGTATGTGACGCAAGGTACGCAAAAACGCCTGTGATTGTGAGCTAATGCTACAATTACAGCCTGGCAAGAACCGGTGGAAGAGCATATACTAAGCACACTCCCAATGTGTCCATAGGTAGAATAGTAGGGTATCACAGGTCACTAGGAGGAGCGCTCGACACGTAGCTCCCGAGCTCCTCGTCGTCGCTGTCGAGCTCTATAAGGAAAGACAGCACGTCAGAGAATCGCCGAGGCAGGGTCACAGGCTGAACGCACCTCCAGTACAATAAGTCTTGATACGGCGCCTCGTCATGACGCCGAAGTAATAGTCGTACATAGGGTAGACAGGTTTCTGTGGAAACGATTGAAGGTTAGAAAGGAAACGGTGTATATCTAGGGGATCATTTACATCGGAGGAAAGGTAGTTCGTCTTGACGGACGGCACCAAGGTAGACTCGTCGTCGTCGCCAGTGCTGTCTTCGCGCTTGTGGTCGTCCGCCTCAAGAATGACCTGACCTTAACCCTCAGCAATCCATTCCACATACGTAACGAGCCAACGGGGGCACGTACCGACGCGATCGCCTCCTCCAGAACATCCTCCACGATCCTGGAGAACTCGCACAGGTCCCACATCACCGCGCTCTGACAGAACGAGCACCGCGCGCCCCTCTGCACGGCGATCTTCAGCAGCCGCTCGTCGCGCGCGACCGCGGGGTCGACGCGTGTGGCCAGCGCCGAGCGCACCGCCCCCATCCACTCCACCCACCACACCGGCACGAGGATCTTCTCGCTCGCGACGCGGTGCCACGCCAGGGTGCGGCGCGGCCCGTCCGCGCACCCGTACGGGCACTCGGACAGGAAGCAGAGCCGGAGCCACTGGAGCTGCACCCATCGCGGGATGCCGTTGCGCGTGCTCACCACCGCGCGCGCAGCCTTCGTTGCCGCGCGGCGGTAGTCCAGCAGGCGGCCCAGGGAGGACCCGGGTAGATGTCGCGCGAGCTCGTCGACGGGGGGCATGGGGGAGAGGAGGGAGCGGCGCGCGGCCGTGCGCGCGACGGAGTCGAGCCCGGCGCGGGAGGCAAGCGCGTAGATGGGGAGTGGGCGTTCGTAAAGGTGCTGAGGGTGGAGAAGATGCGCGGAGACGCGTTTGATGACGGATCGCGCCAGGAGATGCTGCGCGATGTCGAGGAGCGCGCGACAGTCTGTCCAGTCGAGGGCCGGCTCGGGGACGGGGTATACGAAGTGTAGGAAGAGGTCAATGATCCCGGCGGGGAAGGGGAGAGAGATTGTTGGACGGAGGCGATGTCTGGAGGTGGAAGGGGGAGGCCGGCAGGCGAGGGGAATAAGCCGAGCCAGGTAAGGGGAGACGACCATTATTATGGCCTTGTGCACGAGGAACTCGACTCCATCAGTCGAGAGGAGGACCAGATCGGAGTCCTTGCTGTCGAAGGGCGCGTGGGCGGGATGACGAGGAGCCGAGTGCATGGTCGGCAGCGTTGGATGCTGTTAGATGAGGGAGAGAGGTATAGTCAACGGGAGATGCTGCTGCCTGGTTTTGAAGTAACGGTCCCCTGGCAATGCCACTAGGACGCCTGTGCTGTCATCGAGTCGTACTTGGGAGCGTACAGCCTGGAAGAGGGCCGATGCCGCCTCCACGTGTGAACTGGCGTGTGTGGCCACCACGCGTGGGGGCTCAGGGTTCGGCTCCATATGCAGTGCTGCAGCCTACAGCTCGGTGGACGTGAAGGGGCTTGGATGGGACTTGCGCTGAAGCGAGATCCTTGTGGCCGTATCCTCTACAGCCCTCAACATTCGCGAGCTCAGTCCTGCGGAGTATTGCAGACTTGGGGGCTGTCAGAGGGCGTCGTACTATTGATCGTCGGTGACTTACCTTGATTGCATTCCTCGTCCCATCAAGGGGTCGTTGTGCGCCCACAGAAGACCGACCATGTGCCTTCTACAGGCGCTTTTCTGCCAAACTCTGGACGAAGGGGCGTGGTGCGCACCATTCCCGACTGCTATGCCACGGACATTCGGTGCACAGGCTAGCAGTGCTGTACATGCATACAGACCGAAAGGTCGGACTCGGAGTGACGTTAGACAAAAATAGTGCGGAAAGACACTCGAACTTACCCAGCAACAGCAACACGGCGTGAATCAGCGTGGAGGCCTCGTGGGTCAGTGCATATTGCCTTCTGCTCTCCTAGGGGGTGGCCATCGCATCGCCCTTTCGGAAAGAGTGTATCCCGGCTACCTAGCTCCACGTGGTAAAACTGAGGCATGCGAGAAGTAGAAGTGGAAATAAAACACGCAGGCAGTAGAAACCACACAGCGCGATGCGGGCAGGCAGGGACTCGGGAGGTTGAAGTCGTTCAAACCTATGCCAGCGAGGATGTTCGGTCGGACGCGCAATTTATTGACGCGCTGCACTCGGCTTCTTCCGTCCGGCATCCAATTTGATCAACGGCGCACTTCTTCGTTCCAGCTCGCGCTTTCCCATTCATCCTCACAGGAAAGAATTGCGTCTTTGGAACCGCCGTGGCTCGCTCTCTTCCAGAAGAAAAACAATACTTGCACGGGGACCGGAAGAATCGGAGGAGCCGGATTCGAACTCGCCAGCGCGGCGGGCAGAGCCGCTCTCTGACAGCCATTTGGCGCTAACCGGCAACAGTCGCCAACGCAGGGTGCCGCGTTGTTCACGTTCAAGTTTCAAAGCTTCACGCTTGGAGCGACCAGCTGGGTTGCACTGCGAGCCAACTCCGCGCGATGTGGGCACGCGCTGCGCCATGCGAGACCAGGTCCTGGTGGGATCGCGATCAGCGGATTAGATCGAGGAATCTAGGAGTTGGACTTTCGGAGATTGAATATATTAGACTTCTTGTGCAGCTGAGTTCCAATTGAGTTGAAGATACAGGCTATACAGGCGCTGTCGCAGATACTTGTATGCAACACCACAGTCAAGCAAGGAAGTCCTGATGACGTTGTAGTCGCAGGAATCTCGACCGAGCCCAGCCACGAGAGCTCTGCTGTCGACGGATCGTAGGTTGGTCGTCAGAATAACGTACGTCACACCCTTGCGTGCAGCTCCGAGGACGAAGATCGTCTGCTCATTCCAAGAACACCGCCGTGAACGTCGGCGACGGCTTCCGCTTCTCCGCCGTTCTGGGCACACAGCACTGGTCTCCATTCGCTGTCCGCGGCAGAGGCTTATCCAACCATGCTTTCACCTCCGGCGGAAACGCACCGAACTCTTTGAGCGCGGCCGTGACTCACTCCGCGTCCGTCGATGCGCGGCACAACATCCTCGCCACCGAGAAGGGCCCGAACTGCGCCGGAGACGATCTTCGGCTGCAAGGTGCGTCGTCATCCACTGCTCCAGCATGGTGAGCGAGCAGACCCTGACATGAGGATGGCGTGTATTTCTCGCTCATTTCTCGCTCATCGCGCGACAGGCACAACTTGTGACAAGGGAAGTCGGAGCTTGAACGTTTGGATGGACTTGGAGCCATCTCTTGAAAATCTGGGCGGGGGCGTAAAGTGATGGCGGGTATGTCTTCGACGCACTCGATGCTTCGAGCAGGGTTTGAATTGAAAGTCGGCTGAGTTCACTATGAGAAGGTACACTTTCACTCATTTATCTGTCTAGTTTCCAAGGTCTGATCGTGCAAACATTCACTATCCAGTCCGCGGCTCCATAGTACATACAGACCCTCGGTCAAATCGGTCGCCTAGAACGGCTCCGGGGATGCGTCATATTTCCTCGGTCGCAGAACGATACATGGGTTAACACGTCATGTTTCCGCAGGTGGTGTGCCTGTCCGCTCGTGGTTGGAAGCTCACGAGGTTCATTGTCTCACGGGAAGAATATAGGCACTAGATATGCAAACCATCACTGGGAAATGCTGCGTGGTCTAACCGTTGCGCCTGCGTTTGTAACGAACATGTCAGTCGCCCTCGGCCAATTCAGTGCTGGGAACCGTGACCCACGCCTGCGTCCGCGATTTTGACAGCCAAGACCAGACAACAACGCACCGTTCAGCACAAATGCTGCGATATCTGGCGAGCCCAATTGATCGTGAGGACTCAACATGCGTCCTTCTGGGACCCCATGGGAATGCTGACTGGATGATCGATATTCGGGCTTCTCTCGCTAGAGGACGTCCTGAACGCTCTCCCCTTTCGTTCTCTCCACATTCGCTCCACGGTATATATGACGCAGCGCGAGGAAGCCTTCAACGACAGCAGCAGTTACACTCCGCACCATGGCTCCCACAACCTCCCCACCGCGCCATCGCCATCGTCGGCGCCGGACCCGCTGGTCTCGTCCTCCACTCACCCTCGTCAAGCGCGGCTCCCTTCCACCTCTATGAACGCGATGCAAGCCCGTCCGCCCGCATTCACCTCGGGGCACTCTCGACCTCCGCTGGGCATACGGCCAACGTGCGCTCTACGAGAACGGCCTCGAGGCCGCCTCAAGGCCGTGTCGCGCCCCGAAGGCGACGAATCCCGCATCTGTGGCAAGGATGGCCGCGTCCTCCTCGAGATCGTTGGCGACCGTGACACTCGCCCCGAAGACATCAGCCCCGAGATCGACCGCCGCCGCTGCGGCAGATCATCCTCGACGCCGTCCCCGCCGACTCCGTCAAGTGGGGCCACGCGCTCGCCTCCGTCACCCGCACGGCGACGGCACGCACACCCTCTCGTTCGCGAACGGGAGCACCGCCGTCGTCGACGTCCTCGTCCGGCGCGACGGCGGCGCGTCGCGCGTCCGTCCGCTCGTCACCCCGCGCAGCGCTACTACCCGGGCTCACCGGCGCGGAGATCGTCGTCGCGCCGGACGTCGTCGACCGCGCCGACATGGCGGACCGCGCGCGCTGGTCGGAACGGGACGACGTTCGCGATGGAGGATGCAAGATGCTCATCGCGCAGCGCAACAGCACGGCGCGTGCGGACGTACGCCTGGTTCCGCGGCCCGGAGGACTGGCCGTCCCGGCGGACGCGGCGGAGGCGCGGGCGTGCTCCTGGCGAAGTTCGAGGGGGGGCGCCGGTGCTCCGGAAGTTCGTCGAGCGCGCGCGGACGACGGGATCTACCACCGGCCGCTGTACATGCTCCCGCCGGGCCTGGGTGGGAGCACGTCGACGGGTGACGTCATCGGGACGCGGCGCACGTGATGACCCGTTTGCGGGGATGGGGCGAACGTGTCGATGCTGGATGGTTGGAGATGGGGTTGGCGATTGCGGAGGCGGTGAACGCAGAGCGAGCAAGGAGGCGGGAGGCGGCGATCAAGAAGGCGGAGGAGAAGCTTTCGAGGAGAGTGCGAAGTGGACGGACCATTACGCTGCCACATGGAGCAGATCCGGGCCAGAAGCCCCCAGTCCACGTCAAGGTTTTTTAGCTTCGAAGGGATTCCATAGTCACGCAGGGTGTGTGTATTCCACATACGAGCTGTGTTGCATAGCCTGATGAAGTTCTACCGACAAATTGTAGTATGTTAGCCAAGTCTTAGTGCAATCCAAAGAGAAAGATTGACTCGTACCTGTTCCGTTATGCAAGTTTATGCAGTGTGTCATTGAGTGACAGTGTGCTTTTTTGTAAAATAGGTGGGCCTAAGTGAAAAGTTGATCCCACCGAACAGGTCAGGCTCGGCTTGCTTTCGGGCCGGCGTGCCGCAGAGGCTCGCGCTGCCACCCTTCCAAGCTCTCTTCCTACCAACTCTGCGACTGCTTACTTCCACAATATATTCTTCACGTTCCTGGACTGCGGCAAAACTTGGGCAAAACGTATCCCACGGACTCGGCTGCCTCAACTATGCCGACAAAGCACCCGCTACCTCCTCCGAACGCCCGCTGCGTCTGCACCCAGACAAGACCCGACTCCCATCGTCTTCGTGCCATCTAGCACCTGGGTTCCGTCGTTGGCGAAAGGGTCAGTACAGCCTCTATGAAGAGCGTCGGACAGAAGACCGTCCTGCAGGAATGACAGGCCGCAAGCAGTTGGTTCTCGCGGCGCGGGTTCACCCATCTCGAACTCGACCTTGCGCGTCGCTCGGGGACGTTTCGTCGCAAGAGGTGATGAGACAGTATGAGAGTGGTGAGTTGTAGTTCACGCTGCGTTCATGCATACCCCATATGTCATTATTTTTCGTGGCTGTCTTCCTTCGGGGTGCAAGCAACGCCGTCCCCTCTTACGTGGCGGGCTTCCGTCTCGTTCGAGGCTAACGCATGTCTTGTTCGCAGGGTTGCTTCGCGTATCCGCCTTTAATCCATTCCTTTCACCCCCGTCATCATCGCGCGCTGCGCCGGAGCCCTCATCGCTCAGCCGTACATCTCCTCGTATCCCGCCACGGTCCTCCTTCTCATTTCGCCTCCGCTTGCCAACTCCGCGTTGCCCAAGATGCTTCTGCCCACGCCCCTGCCGGAGTTCTACTTCGGGACCAAGTTCCCTTGTTCCGCCATGTGCACCAAACATGAACGACCCGCGCTCGAAGCGGCAAATAGGTTGTGGAAGGACCCCAGCGTGGACAAGATAGGAGTGGAGGACGATGAGACAGTCATGGGGCACGAAGGATTGATGGAAATTGAGCAATGGATGGACGAGCTGGGGATACATACAAGACGGGCGCGTTCAGCATGTCCTGTGAGTTTCTCCGCCTTTTATCCTTGTCCTCCTCGTATGCCCCTTTACGCTGTCTGATTAGACGACCTTCCTATCGTAACGTGCGTTCCAAGGTCGGCGAGACGTCTGACATCCTTCCCCTCGACGACGGTTGGAGATAGTCGATTTCCCGAGATTCAAAATACAACAACGCTCGGTCTATGCCCGCTTGGATCCCACTATTCGTCGCTTTCGTAGCCGATAGTCCGTAAAGCTTAATGCTCCGCAGACCATCATCTGTTATAAAGGAGTGAGTGTCATTTTGGGCTTCTCAAGCTGACATTAGCGTCGTCAAGCAATCTCCAGTTTCGTGGCCCAAATTGGGCCACAACTTCAACCAAGGACGCCCACACCAAACAACGCTTGTTTGGCCACACATTTTGAACTCCGCAGTCCAGCCGGGGCCTGACTCGAGCACCCCAAATCATTCGGGATGCCGTTGGATCGGACTCTTGAGCCGCCGCTTGGGCTCTGCAACCAATCCGCGACACACGGCGGCCTGCGGTGCCCTCCTGCGCCCTGGTCGCCGTGATCGTTCTCCGAGTTTTCTCGCGCTCGGTGAGTAGGCCCTTCTGTCGGGACTCGGCTGAGAGCTTCTGTTGATTAAAATCAATTTCCAGGGACTGCTGTGTGATCCGAGAGCATCTTCTTACCCGAGAAGCACCTGGTCTTGGTTGGGCGCGAAGAAGTGCAGGAGGCGATTGGCCAGGTGATCCTCGGAACCCCAGTATCGTGCCAGCCGAGTGCGCGACCTTGTGCTCTGCATGGGCTTCGGGATTCGCGGTGGGGTCTGCCGGACGAGGATAAAAGCCCCCCTCCCCTGCGCTCTCTCTCTCCTCAGAACCCCCCACCTCACCACCTCGGCGATGCTCTCTCCCCGCGACGCACACCTGCTCATGCAGCACACGACACCCTCACCTCCCACCCGCCTCGACGACGACGGCAACATGCTCACCTCCGGGTGAGGCATGCCGGTTTTGACACACAACTGCCCTCCGACTCGCAATGTCGGCCTTACCAAACGCGTACGGCACCTCGAAGGTGAGTTGACTTCGCCATCGTCGTGCACCATTCCCGCTGACCGATCCGCTAGGGCTCGGCTCATGTCACTCTCCTCGCCCGGCACCGAGGCTCTGGCGTCGCTCGCGCGTCGCGATCCCACCGCCACATGGGCAGGTGAGAGACAGCGTGCACGGCTTCGCGCCGCACCGCACGTGAGGTTGAGACGAGGCGCGTATGCATCTTGGACCACCCCTCATGGTCCTCGCCGACGGTTCTCACGAGCTGCGCGACACGCGTTTCAAAATAACTGTGGTTTGTGCGTATTTCTCCGATCACTCTCCGCCAACGTCGACGCTGACTCCCACACAGCAGCTGCGCCTTCAATAGCAGTCCCCCGACATAGTGAGTCGCTTGTCTACCGTCCGTTTAGAATGTGATCTGACTTTGACCGCGCAGCGACCGCCTTCGAGGCCAGTCGTACGTACAGGCTCAGTAAGGGCGCGGTCGATCGCTTCCCGCTGTCCAATCCAGCGGCGAAAGTAGGGTATGGTCCCGCGCCAGGCGGCACGCGCACTCCCGATGGTTGCCACTCCGCGAAGCCTGTCGGAATGATTTGGCTCCGGGAAAGTCGTGCGTGCCGCTCTCAGTTTTCGATCCGCTTTTCTTTTCTCTCGACTGCTCTCCCCCTCTCCCCTCTCCCCGCACCCATGCCTCAAGGACGGCGATCGTCAGGCGGCGCGCACGACCCGATGAATGCCGCTCCGTGAATTCTCGCGGAATGTTTTCCAGGCTCCGGGACACTCGTACGCGCCGGCCCCAGCTCGGCCCGTCCTTGATCTCTCTTCCCATCTATGTCGCTCATCTCTATGCCTATGTCTACCTATGTTTCGGCCTTACGACCTCCGTTTAGATATACTTCCCGAGGTATCGGTGCAGGCCTCTTCGTGGCCCTCGGGACTAGTACCCGTCGCTCGCGCGGCGGGGAAGCCAACATGCGCCATTCATGTATTATGTAGTATCTCCAATCAATACTATTCGCCCGCATGTCACGTATGAGTGCACACCAACAGAGCTTTCCCTACAAGAACAGCGACCACGATTCAAGCCTCACATCACGACGATCTTGGAGAAGTACTCTCGAAGACCAGCTGCGTCGTTGGCGAACGCCCCGATGTATCCGTCCGGCCGCACCACGACGACAGGCGGAGCTCCACCCATGAGCCCGTACGCGCGTCCAAACCAGCCGGCCCCGTCGTGATAGACTCCCTCCACTTCGCGCTCGACGTTCGGGACTACAGACGAGCCGATGGCGACGACTCGGACAGCGAGGCCGGCCGGGAGAGCCTTGACGGCGTCGACGACGTCCACGATCTTCGCGTCGCCGGTGTCGGCGCACGACACCAAGACAGTGTGCGCGTCCGGCTTGAAGATCGCGAAGAGAGAGGTCGCCTTCCCCGCAGCATCGACCAGCCCAGGTGCCTCAGGAGCGCGGTCACCCGCGCGCACCTCCGCGCCGGGCCCGTAGCCCGTGTACGCGTACGCGCGCATCTCGGCCTCGCTGAGGCCGGCGGGGCCGCGGGCTCGTAGACGACGGGGCTCCAGCGGTAGTTGATCTCGAGCTGCGAGAGCCCGGCGACACGCCAGCGAATGAGACCGCCCTTCTTGGACTCCTCTGCGGTGACGGGGACGTTGATATCCTCCGCGCTCGTGGCTACTGTTTGCACGTAGAGCGAGCTCGAGATTCTGATGACCTCGGCGGCGATGGGGTGGCGTTCGGTGTGGTACGACGTGAGCAGGTCTGCTGTCGCGAGGCCTTTGTGCGCGAGGGCGATCTTCCATGCGAGGTTGATCTGGGGACTGGTGTGAGTAATTTCCGACGAATAGTAAGCAGATAGTATGCTTACCCCGTCAGCAACGCACGTGTTGAGGCCCTGGCCTCCAGTGGGTGAGTGAATGTGCGCTGCATCTGGGCCATTGTGTTAGGAAGTCTAAACGCTGAACGGAAGGGGTCGGGATGCAGTACCTCCTGCGATGAAAACTCGGCCCTCCGAGTACTTGTTCACCATGAGCATCTTCGGCCTGCGTTGAATCAGCCTCATGATCACATCATACTGCGTTCCGCGACTCACTTCCAGTGAAACAGGGAGTGCATGTTTCTGAAAACCAAATCGGTGCGCCCAGTGTTCTCGCGGAAGAAGGCAATGGCCGCGTCGTAATCCATCAGTTCCTCCGCAGGATCGAAGTTCTTTCC